CCGCTGCAACAGCGCTGTTTATCGCTCCATCATGTAATATTCATTCGTACATTCCTCACTTCAGTTGAAGTTTATGCTTATGATTTACTTACTGAGTCACCGAGTATTTAGTGTTTTGTTTTCTTCCTCGAATAACTCCGCCATATTTGATTGGACTTTCGATCCCGCATTTCTTCTCCGTTCCGAGTCCTTGAATTAAGTTTCCGATGGTTTGTCGAGCTGCATTGCTTCAAATAAATTAGAGTAACCCCGGATGACAACCAATAATGAAGCAAGTGTCCATGTAATTATGCGCTCATTTGAGGTAAATTAACAGCGTTTAAACGCGTCGTTTGTATAAAGCTCTTTCGACATAAAAATCTTGCGCACGCGTTTTTTGTGTGTTTAAACGTTGTTTAAATACGTTTTAACGGTGTTTTAACACGTTTATGGTTAAAACGCTAGAAAACACGTTTTTTTGTTATTCACCTTAATCCCCCTTTTCCTAAATAAGGTCACATTTTCTTCAACCCTCATACCCTATCCCTGTTTTTTCATTTACTTCCCCCAGGAGTAAGACCCCAGTCCAACCGGGGGGATTGTAAATGGACAGGGAAGTTGACAGTTCCTCCAGGGGTAGGAGAACTTAACAAGACAAATTCCCCCGAGTCAAATGCTTCTCAGTAAAAAATCCTCAGTGATATTCCTCTCATGTAACTGGGAGTTGTGTGATGCATAGCGGCCTGGAATTGTCATGCACTATTGTTTACAAAGACCAGAAAAGCACCCTTGGAATGAATATCATCATTTAGGCCGACTCTCCATGCTCTGCACTGCTAGGGACATTTCGCCAGGAGGATGTCTGTGCCTCAGTGATGGAAATTTAATAATGATGACATAAATCAATATTTAATCCAGTAGTCATGGAGTTCCAAATGCAAATTTATTAGTTTTATGTTTCTTCTTGGTCGATTTTGGTAAAGTTTCGTGTTCTTCTGTGAATGAGCTCCAGCAAAACTCAATGCTTCTTTTAAAGAAGAATATATTTTAGCAATATTGACTGTTTTGTAGTTGTTTATTGCGTTTACATTATTTTGACCTTTGTGGCCGCTTTTCTTTAGTCTGCCGTTCATTGACAATAAAGTCAAAGCTCGATTATCTGGACCTCAGTTATCCGGACTTTTCGATAATCCAGTCTTTTCTAGTCCTATTTTTTTCATGAATATTATTAAAGATGTGATCTTGAAAAACTGAAATGAGTTTAAACACTGTTTTAATCTGTGTTTTGCTTTGAAAAAGCGCGAGCGGCAATAATTGATCTATTATTCTGATGCATTCAGCCGAATTCTTATTGGCTCAGTTATGTTGCTAAGGGAATGTCATGCTTAATTCTGCATTGGTTATGTAAACACAAGACAAATCGATAGTAAACTCAAATCACAGCCATATAAGTCTACGTAAGGAAAGCAGTCTGTTCTCATGATAAAGGATAAGCAAACGATTTTTTCACTTTTGGAGAAAGGCGAAAAAGGAACAAATGTAGCACTCAAGTTTAAAATCGGCAAGCAGAAGAACTCATATATACACAAAAATAAAGAGAAGATCCTGAAATTCAACGACAGCGTCGAGATGAGCAAAGGATTAAAAATACTTAACCCATTCGCTCCTGGAGATTTTGCCGAAAAATGCGTTTTGAAGCTAGTCGAGTGGTTTTCTGGTCACTGTCGTGCTATAAAGAGCTAAAACTTACCACAAACCGGTTTACAGGTCGTACACTTGGCGGCCTTCTGATCCAGATGCAAAATATCAGCTTGCGAAGTTCGGGCATGCGCAGAAAGCAAAATTTCGACATAGTTTTTGGGTTTAAAAGTGACACAGCAGTCTTGACTTTTACTTTTCGCTTTCTCTCCTCCCTTTTTTTTTTTGCTTTTCTTGCCTCATTTTTTTTTTCTCTTGCTGGGCATTTAGTAGGCTTCATTTTGGTGGGAAGAGTTTTTAGGAAAGCTTTTAGGATCTTAGGATTAGGTGAAAGGAAAGGTAGGTGGGTAATGGACCAAGATTTTCATGGAGATTTTCAGGTCCTTGTCACGTGGTTTTTTGCTTCTTTCTCCGGTGTCCTTGACTGAATTGTGCTCATTCTGGTATGGTTTGAAAGATCTCTTCACTCTGCACAAGTTAGCAAAGAAAGTTGTCCTTGACCGTTAAAACTGATGACGTCACAAAGGGCAGAAAGGACCTGGATCCGCACGGGCGGTTACGGGCGGTTCAGGGGCGAATGGGTTAATACTTATAGTCCTTTCATAAATTCAAGTAAGAGCTTAATTCCCAATTAAATTGTAGCTGAAACAAAATAGCTACTACATCAACCAATCAGAACTCCTGACCAGATTCTGGACAGAGTTTACATCAACAGTGTGGATTCTTTGTCGCCAAGGCGCGGCTGCCCCTCCTGGCAAAGGAATGAGGAGAGACGGCCGTTTTGCAGGCTACAGTTTTTAAGTCCTTACACTTATTTCTTGTCATCTTGTTAGCTGATATCAGCCTTGCTGACTGGGGTCGCAAAGAGATCAAGCTTGCTGAAAATGAAATGCCTGGCTTGATGGAAATGAGGACGCGATATGGCCCCACCAAACCTTTGAAGGGAGCTAAGATTGCAGGTTGCCTTCACATGACCATTCAGACAGCTGTTCTCATTGAGACTTTGACGGAATTGGGTGCTGAGGTAGGTAGCATGATTTTTAACTGGTTTATGTATAAATCAGGAATGAAACATGGGAACCACTATCAGTCTGAGCTAAGGTTAAAAGACCAGTGCACAAAACATAAAAAGAAGGTATAAATAACACAGCAAATGCTTAACCCTTTAAGTCCCAATAGTGACCAACATCAATTTTCTCCTAATAATATCCATACATTGTCAAGAGATAAAATTATGAGAATTAATAAAATGATCTCCATAGAGAAACTGCCATGATCTTTTAGCAAATTCTCTCAACTAATTCTTGAAGGAAATGTATAGAGATCAGTTTGGAGAATTTGCATGTGGATATTGGGGCTTAAAGGGTTAAAGGAGATCAAGGGAGATCACTCTTGCTGAGAATGAAATGCCTGGTGTGTTGGAAATGAGGAAGAGACATGGCCCCACCAAACCTTTCACGGGAGCCAAGATTTTTATAAGCTGCTACAGCACAACATTGACACTAGACATCAGGTCACCATCGTGCAAATAATAACAATCGCGACAGGCGTGTTAAATTCATGCCCTCAGTAAGTGTGTCACTTTGTCAATCCTGTCCAGGTTTTAATGGTATGTGTTTCATCAGCAATGCAAGCCGCCAAGGTCTTTTTTGAACAAAGAATCTTTCCACTGATCTTCATTTCAACAATACAACAAACCTTTGTGATCTGTGATTTCCTTCACCACCTCTACTAATGCTCATTGAATGTCAAATCATTCTTTGTGAATGCCATTTGAACACTCCACATTTTCTTTCATATTACAGGCACATAGTTCTATTAAAGTGACCTCGAAGATCTGCCCTTTGATTATGCCATTTAGTGGTGATTTTCACTGCCAGGAGCTACATGATTATAACGATCTTGTGTTTTCTTTGATTGACAGTTTCCTTGCACAACTCGAACACTCATCACCTCTGAAGGCTCTTAACCAATATGAATTTTCTACACTCTCGGAAAGCGGAAAAAAATTTCCTTCATGGGCCTTTCAGGCAGGCAATCCTTCTCCCCTAGTGTCTGTCTGTCTCTCTCGTACACTCTGTTTTTTTTCTTATGCCTATTTCTTCCAAGTGCCTGTCACGCAGGCTGTGCTAGAGTTAGCTAAGTCCCATTGGAGTCTGATATATGGGGGTGCTGTGACTAAGAGAGAAGGGGCCTATGGTTCCTTATTTGAGAAGACTAAAAGTGCCTTAGTAACCATTAGCAAAAAAGGCAGCTGCATCTCTTCTGAAGCCACCTAACAAATTGAGATACCCTGTTGGCTCTTTATTTAATGTAAGCTTGTGTATTTTCCCTCACAGGTTCAGTGGTCATCATGCAACATCTTCTCAACCCAAGACCACGCTGCCGCAGCCATTGCCAAGACTGGTGTCCCTGTTTATGCCTGGAAAGGAGAGACTGATGAGGAGTATATCTGGTGCATTGACCAGACACTTGTGTTCCCTGATGGGCAGCCCCTTAACATGATCCTTGACGATGGCGGTGACCTCACCAACCTCGTTCACGAGAAGTACCCCCAGTACATGGAAGGTTGGTGGAGCCAACATCCTTGAAGAATTCTAAGCTTCACTCTCATTTTATGAATGAGCTGAACTATAGGAGATTAGCTGATAGTAAAGATCTTTCCTTTAAATTCATGTTGGGGGATTTGAAAAAGTTGCAGGCACTTGGTACTAAACTTGCTGCATTCAGAGATTTAAAAAGTCCTAAACTGCAGAGTTACCGTATTTATTCGAATTAGCGCCCACCACGAATAAGCGCCCATCCTAAAGACAGAAAAAGTTAATGAGCGCCTAGCCTCGAATAAGCGCCCACCCCCTCCTCCTCCCAATCAAACTCAAATAAGTGCTCACCCCCACCCCACCCACTTGAGTGAATAAATTCTAATAAGAGACTTCCCCGAGGACGGAGTTTTCTTCAGAGTATTTTACAGAAATCGTGCTTTGTTACTTCTTCTCGTTTTGTTATTAGCATTTATTGTTTTGTTGCAAAATAAACATACTACACTTGCTGAAAATGGTGAAAATTTAATAAGCACCCAGCCTCGAATAAGTGCCCACTCTCAAAGTCCAAAAATTTAATAAGCCCCCAGGGCAGTTAATCGAATAAATACGGTATCTTGCCAGAATGAGACAAAGTTAAATAAAGTTTGCCAGAAGGGCATGACTAGCTGGCCTAAAGCTGTTTAGTTAGCATTTGTCATCACATTTGAAGTAGGCAGGAAAATGGGAAAGGTACTAAGCCAACGTTTTGACATTTTCTATTGTGTTTCTAGTAAAGAAGCCAAGACAAGTGCATTTGTATCAGCCAGGCAGGGTCTAAGGCCCTTGTGATAAATTAATGACAGCCTTAGACATAACTTACTGTCCTGTCTGTCATTTTGGTTAATTCTCTTAAGCATGTCACCATAATTTGATTGTCTTGAGTAATAAATTTGTGTTAACGCCCTATTCAGGTATCAAAGGTCTTTCAGAGGAGACCACAACTGGAGTCCATAACTTGTATAAGATGATGGAGAACAAGCAGTTGAAGTGTCCTGCCATCAATGTGAACGATTCTGTCACCAAGAGCAAATTTGACAACCTTTATGGAATCCGTGAGTCTCTTGTTGATGGTCTGAAGAGGGCTACCGACATTATGCTTGCCGGCAAAGTCTGTGTTGTAGCTGGGTATGGTGACGTCGGTAAGGGTTCAGTGCAGTCCCTGAGGGGATTTGGCGCCCGCGTCCTGGTCACTGAGATTGATCCTATCAATGCTTTGCAAGCTGCCATGGAAGGTGAGATACTATATTTGGTTTTACCTGATTTGAATATAACACCAAGTAACTGCTCCTCCAAATGAGAGCATGTTGTTGATAATTTACAGTTAGCTCTTTAATAGGGACACCAAAAGGAAAAAGACAAGTGTCAGCGTTATAGAAGTAGGGATATGTTAGCATACTTGGGACCAGTGGAACTGTCTGTAATAGAGAGGCATTGTTATTGTAGAGGTAGGGGTTGCCTGAAGTTTGGGCTAATTCTAGGGGACTAAGATAACTGTTCTTATCATAGAGTTGTCCATAATAGAGGTAGGGATTGTGAAACTGAAAGAAATGTCTTTATAAAGAGGTGTCCATATGATGGAGCTGTCTGTGGGGAGAAGTTTGGTGGTGTAACTTTTTGTACTTTAAAGTGACTGATGATGATGTATTTTCCTCTTCTTTTCATAGGATATGAAGTTGTTACCATGGAAGAAGCCGCCTCCCAGGGACAGATCTTTGTTACATCGACTGGTTGCAGTGGAATCATCACCAAAGAACACTTCATGCAGATGAAGGAAAATGCCATCATCTGTAATGTTGGTCATTTTGATTGCGAGATTGATGTTGCTTGGCTTACTGAGAATTGTAAAAAAGATAACATCAAGCCTCAGGTAAGTCTTAAAGATACTTACATGTATCTCGATATACAATACTGTGATATTGCCAGGCATTCAATATTCTGTAGTAGCATAATACAGCGCATATTGTAAAATTGTAAATTGCCTAAGTTTTGAACTCGTAATTGCCACCCCCTCACAAGGCCATTTTCACAATGATGCCTTTTGAATATAAAAGTGTGTCATGACAGAAATATAAATTTTTTAAATTATGGGATTGGCTGGCATCCAAAAAAAAAGCCCCCTCGCCAAAAATCTGCTTGCTAGTGCAAACTGGCAAGGATATGTAAGCACCGTTATACTCTGATGACTTCATACAAGTCTTTGTAAAACTGCATCATGGCGTTTTTTACAATACATTGGAGTCATCGGAGCATAACAGTGCTTATTATCTCCATACCAACTATACACCAGCAGGCTGCTTTTTGGCAGGTTAAAAATTTTCAGCTTGTGTTTTGTGGATATGCCAACCTGTCCCATAATTTCACAAAATTGAATTTTGTGACGTCGTCACTTCTCTTTTCTATTCATTTGTTTTTGCCTCAGTATCTAGATTTAACAATTTATTACCCTTATTATTTTACAAAAAGAAAAGTAGCAGTCTAAAAGATTCTGCTGGTTGGAAAATGACATCATTATGCACTAGTTCTGGTCTCCTTGCAAGAATTAATTTATTATTGTAAATTTATAAATTTTTAAGTGTATAAATTTATTCATAAAGTGATTGTATTAAAATGTAACCATAGGTCGACCGCTTTGAGCTTCCCAATGGTCGCCATGTTATCCTCCTTGCTGAGGGACGTCTTGTGAACCTTGGCTGTGCCATGGGACACCCTTCTTTTGTCATGAGCAATTCCTTCACCAACCAGGTCTTGGCTCAGATTGAACTCTGGACAAAGACTAAGGAATACCCAATCGGTGTTTACATGCTCCCCAAAAAGGTAGGTCAAGAAAGATAAATAATAGTTTTATTGTTGTAATATCTACAGTATTGGGTTACCCATTATGACCCTGCTTGTTGGTTAACTCTCCCAAAATGTTACCCCGGTAAATATTTGTTTTACTTTGTCTGCCTGTCAAGGGGAGATTGTTTGCTAGAACATGGATGCGCTAGGTGACTATTCAACATACCTACTGCTCAAACAAGCCGTTTCGCAATTGTAGTGGTGTCTGTTTTATACGAGAGAGAGTTAACTGTATACTTTCAGGCGACTGATCATTTGTTATTTCCAACACTGAATTATTTTTCTTTCCTTCGCCAGCTCGACGAGGAAGTCGCAAGACTGCATCTCGATCATCTTGGTGTCAAGATTACCAAGCTCTCAGACAAGCAGGCGAATTATCTTGGTATCTCTGCTAAAGGCCCTTACAAACCAGAGCACTACCGCTATTAAATACTTGGCTAGAGTCACATTACCAAAATGATGCTACAACTTATCAATTATCGACAACAAATTGACTTGCTTTTTACCTCCGTACCTGTGGAGACGAACGTGTACGTCGCAGACACTAGCTTTATGCTATTTATTATAGTTTTTGTAATAAACAACCATATAAACACAGTGCAAAGTCTAGCAATTTATGTGAATGTCTGTTCCTCACTTATAATTAAGAGCCCATTTCAGGCGTTCAGAGGGTGTAGACGGTGGAGAGAAATGAAAGGAAAAAACAGCAAGGGGTTCTTTCCGGGTTTTTCTGTCTCTCTTCTCTTTATTTCGCGCCACTTTCCACTAACTAAAACAGCGGATATGATAGCAACAAACAAACTGAACTTTGAACGGCCATGTAACGAAAGACCTAAAGACTCCGCACTGGAGGCCCATACTCTCAACAGTGTGAGTGTCTGAGAAAAACGCTTTCTGCTTTATTCTTTCGTCAGACAACGAAAACCATACTTGATTCCCATATTGAATTATTTCATCTAAAAACATCTTTCCAGGAAACCCCTTGAGTGGCCATTTTATAAGAGCAAAGAAAGTCTAGAAATGATCACCAAAAAGAAAACGTCGTGATATGTGGTAGGTAGGACCGGGGTAAAATGGAAGATAAGATTGATTACAGGTCGCTGTTCTAGAGCCTAGCCTTGGCCCCCTTTTTTTAAGATCACGCGCTTTTTTTGCGTGCCTTACACTTGCACGTAATCCCTACTTCGAGAGCATGGAAGTACCCTGCGAATAGAGTCTCCTTCCACCTTCCTAGATAAGTCGGGAAGAGGAATGTCGGCACAGTCGCTTCCTCTTTCCCGAGTTACTAGGAAGGATCAAAGCGACTCTGCTATCAAGGTAGAATGGAACAGGCTAGCTCGTTTCAAGCCCTAAGCACACTACATAGGAAGCTAGCAAATTCCCACTTGCTCATTTGCTCAGGAACATGAACGTGAATATCGGGACTTCAGAGGAAAAAAGGAGGCTTCTAAGGTCGCTCCATACTGGTCTATCTTCATCGTTCTTGACCGTCTATGAAAATTCCATGCTTACATCTTTTCAGCCAACCTCATTCTCACAGCCTGCGTCGCAGATACTCTAAACCGCGAGTAGAAAGCGTCGGAATATACAAATTATGGTCTAGAGGACTAGAAGATGCAGGGGCCGGCTGCAACGATACAATATCAGGGTCTTCCCTCTTCCTTCCTCTCAGAGTAGAAAAGGCGAGAGGCTGAGGGATGAAGCATGGTTGCTTGTGAGGGTTCATGCCGCCTTGCTAGAGTTGCTATAACGTCAACGTACTCGAAAACCTCCATGGCTCCACTTTTAGTGAGCGTTTTTGAAAACGTCCGTTTTTGACGCTCTGGGGAGGACACGAGGCTAAAACTTAAAACGGTGTTAGCGTTTTCAAAAAGCCTGATGCGAGGAGCCCCAGGGATCCTGCAGGTGACACACCTTTCGGTAATCTCCCTCGTAGCCGGTTTTTGGATGTCACAAAAATCACAAGAAGTCTCCGAATAGTAGGCCCTGGTACCCCAGGACGACGTTAAAAGTTAACATTCACATATTTGGATTAACGAAATGTACAATATACTGTGAAGAATGTTCATGTTTTGTTCCCGTTTTTCTCTATGCTGTTACTATGCTCATTTTTCAGATTAAAAGAATTATTTCAAGTGAAAAATGGTGAAACTAAGTCGTTACTTTTTTTTTGGAAAATGCCAAAAATTTGGGTCGGTCGGACGACTGTTACCCTGCGAACAGAGTCTCCTTCGATCTTCCTTATCTAGGAAAGATCGAAGCGACTCTGCTAGCAGGGGGTAGACGACTGTAAACGGAGAAAAAAAAGAGGTGGCCATAATTCGCAGGGGTAATTCGACAGTGCAAAAAGACTCGGCAATGCGATCTCAGTGCGCACACCTCTTGAGTGTGGGAGGAGAGGAAAAAGATAGGGGAGATCGGGCAATCAGAAAAAAAGCATCAACAGACGCCTAATTTTACTTATCACGTCTGATACTCATTTTTTGGTCAGCGGGCTGTATAGTTAGAGCCTAGTCCATTCGCATTCCTTCAAGTTAGAGAGGAAAGCCTACCTCAAAATTCTTGCTGCGTTTGTAAACAAGCCGCTGTTTTTGCGTTATTTTTTGCAATCTGAACGTACAACAAAGCATTTTACAATTCATGTTGTCGAGGAGATCTTCGAGGATTCATTTGCTTTTATATGTGGTCACTGACTGGAAATATTGAGTTGTAATATCGTCCTCTTTTGGGGGCATGGATCGAACAGCTTTGAAATTGATATTGAAAATATATAGTTTCTTTCATTGGCGGTCAATTTCATGTCAAGGTGCCTAGTGAAAGGATTCTTGTTTGAAATGGTGAAGACTTCTAGTAATGTTCTGTTCACTCAGTTAAAGCGGGCGGCGATTGTTGCTTTATGTTTGTTCGTGTTCTGCGAATGGTTGATTTATTACGTGGTCATTTATCAGTGCTCCTGGCCTGAACTTCAGTCAGAGGGAAGCGAAAGGCGCTTCGATCCTCTTAGGATAATGTTGTTGACTGATACACATTTGTTAGGACCAAAACATGGCCACTGGTTCGACAAACTCAGGCGAGAATGGCAGATGGAGAGAGCCTTTCAGACAGCTGTTGCACATTTCAAACCTGATGTTGTGTTTTTACTTGGGGATCTGTTTGATGAGGGTTTATACAGTAATGATGAGGTGAGGTACTAAGGTAATACACCTGGGCCAAATGTCGAACTTTCCATGAGACAAACCAAACTTAGGCCCTGTCTATAAGGAGGGAGGGTAACCCTGGTGCTCGGGTTACCCTAGCAAGAGGGTTACCCTAACACTTGCACATTTCTTCTTTTTGTACACGACGTGTTTACAAGGCAGGTAGGGTTACCCTAGCGCTAGGGTGACCTGACCCTACCTGAGTGCTAGGGTTACCCTAGCAAGAGGGTTACCCTACCTGCCTTGTAAACACTCTGCTAGGGATAACTTGCCGACCTGGGACAACTTTACGCCGTCATGCATGACCAGTAATCATGCAAATTTGAACAGTATTATCCAATTTCTGAGCTTAATCATAAACATCTGAAAAATAAAAAGTTATTTTCTTTCTACAATGATAATAGTCTCCCTCTTTTTTTTTTCGTGAATTAACGTGTTTTCCATGGAGAACTTCAAGATTATTTCAAGTCTTGGACCGTTACAAAGAATGTCACACATGAAGAAACACGTCAGCAAAGCTGGTAAAGTTGACCCAGGTGATAGGGTAACCCTACCTGTGAAATTTACCTGTAAACCAGAGCTAACTTTAACCTGCTTGGTAGCCTGGGTAACCCTAGCACAAGGGTAACTCTCTCTCCTTGTAAACAGGCCCTTAGTGTGTTAAGTTCATGAAAAGGGTGATATCTGGCTCAGTCAAGTTTGTCTGAATGAGTTTGGATTGTCCAACACATTCTATCCATCTGCTTCAGATGGATAGAGCGTCTGAGGATTGTCTCCAGGATAAACATTGATCTTGACATGGGAAGAACTGAACTAATAAATTAAAAATATGTATGATAATGTATATTTAGCCTCATTCAGGAGAAAATTTATTACTGAATATCCACTGGCCAGCTAAAATTGCTTTTTGGTCTCATTCTGTTGATTGGTTCGACGGGTCCTAAGTTCAATGTCTGACCCAATAGACGATCTTAACTTAATTTATGTAGATCCAAATTAGAGTTTGGTTTGTCTCATGAAAAGTTCAACATTTGGTGTAGGCCTTAGGTTAATACAGCAAATACTGTCTTAGGATTAAATGCCCTGAAGTAAAGTACTGCCCCACAAGTATGAAACTAGTTTTTAAAAACTTGTTGAAACACAGGTAAAGATTTGCCAGTTAGACCCCCTCTATACAAGAAGCTAATTAACTTTAAGTTTGTAGGCTCTTATTTTTTAAATTCTATTGAAAATAATCTCTACTCTAAAAAAGGGCTCTTTAAAATCCATGTAATCAGTATTTCAAATTATTTTTCTTGTTGTAGTCATTTTTAATAGACAGCAACACTCTCTTAACGCTTCAAGTCCCGACGGTGACCAACATCAATTTTCTCCTAACAATATCTACACAATGTCAAGAGATTAGGTTATGAGAATTAATTAAATGATCACCAAAGAGAAAATGCTTTGATCTTTTATCAAACTCTCTCAACTTATTCTTTAAAGAAATGTATAGAGATCAGTTTGGAGAATTTGCTCGTGGATATTGGGACTTAAAGGGTTAACTACAATTTGATTTTTTTTCTTCAGAAAAATAAGGACCTATCCAAGAACCTAAATACCAGTAACCTAAATTGGTCTTATTTATTACCACTTTGATAAGGACCTCCTTAGGCTAACTTGGTAAAATGTACTTGACTGTACATGTAGGTTCTTACACATCGTAGTACTGCTTACAAAAACTCTCTGAATGTCATCCCTCTCTCTGTATACATGGATTTTTGTAGTGAAATGGAAAATATCTGTGAAATGGTTTTAAGTGAGAAATCAGGAAACAGTAGTTCTCTAAGGAGAAAAGTTGTGTATAAATTAAGGCCACTTCTCATTTGAGTAAGATATTCTAGTGATTTTTTATGCTTTTATTCCAATTTATTTATCAGGAATGGGATTTCTATGTACATCGTTTTCACAAGATGTTCGATCGTTCTGAAAATACTGAATTCCATGTAGTGGTAGGAAATCATGACATTGGATTCCACCCTGAGTAAGTTGGATCATATTATGATAAAAACCAAACAAATTAAAGCATGACTACTTTATGGGGCCATGCAGCTTTGTATATACTGTAATCCTTTATGAGAAAAACAGACTGAAGATTGATAGAAATATTTTAGTCACAGTCATAAAACAGTGGAAAACGTCACACTTGCAGCTTAAAGTGGCTGAGTGGTTCCAGTATTAAGGGTTTGATTTAAAATTCCTCTTAGTTATTAAATTTTCCTACCCCTCTGAAAATTCCAGTTCAGATTCAAACAGTGTACATCCAGGGAGAACAGAACATTTTTTTCCAAGTGAAGGGGGAGGGTTGGCAAGTGACTTGAAATGTGGATACTAAGGAGACTAGCCTCCTTGCAAGTCTTTATTTTTTTCAGAAAGACTCTGGGGGATGAAGCCACCCAGCCCCCTCCCCCCTCCTTAACTCTGCTGTCCCTGATATCCCTTTAAAAGTTTTGGTCTTTTAGTCCCCCTTCCTTTGAAATTTCCAGTCACCATCCTTAGCTAGGGTGAGTATGGATACTTTTTGGAACCATGCAACACTCTAACTTATCTCTAAGTTATATGTAAACACTACCCCCGAGATGTTCTCATTTCATGTTACAATCAGTTAGACCACAAATTGTGATCCCGTTTACCTGTGTGTGAGCAAAGAATTCAAGGCACCTCAAAGGTCCCCAAAGCACATTGATACACCACAACTGGCTGCAATTACTATGAGAAAAGAGATTTGTCTATTTTAAACATAAACTTTTTTAATAAATTATTGTGGAGCCTTTTGTTAACCAGTTGCAAATATGTTTCTTTCCTCAGGGCCTCTAGAGACAGTCACTTGTTTGAAAGATTTTCATCTGTGTTCGACTCACCATCAGCTAAACTGATCAACATCAAAGGAAACATGTGAGTTAGTGGACTCAATTTCCTTCTAAATACTTCATTTAAAGTTTCCGTCACCCTTGACTTAGAAGAAGGACAGCATTTTCTAAATAGTAATTTAGCCTTTCGTTAGTTATTAGTAATTACTTACAGAAATCCCATCAACCCCACCCACAGCTCTTTCTCTCCTAGTTTAATGTTATGCAGTGTGTCTTGCAGTAGTTTTTTCAGGTTGAGATGACAAGCCTAATTCCTCTATTGACCAATATGGCTTGATTGAATCAACCAGAAATCTGGACCTCAGTGATCAGTCACTCAGCATTCAATGAGTCACTTGTCACGAAGAAATGAGCATTTCACCAACTTGAAAAATTGATACACCAAGAGCACCTAGAGCACTTGCTATACCCCAGCTCTGTTACGGACGTGAAATGCTTAATTAAAAAGGTTAACAATTTGCTCTTTCAATTATTTAGATTTGTTCTAGTGAATTCCATAGCATTGCAAGGTGATGATTGTTCCATGTGTTCCGAAGCCATGAGGCAACTTCATGCTGTAGCTGATAAGCTCAACTGTTATCAGAGGTCCAAGAAAGAAATCTTTGAAGATATTGTGAAACAAGACAGAACTTTTTGTGAGCTTCCTAAGGATTCTCCACCACCAATACTTATACAGGTATAATCCAAGTCTGGCTGGTGCTGCACCATATACTAAGTGAATAACAAGTCTTGAGTTACATCACAAAGAACACAACAATGATCTCTAGCCCTAACTCAATAACACAATAAACTTCACACAATAGAACGACACAACAGTGTATATAATTGACTTGGTATATCGAGCACCATCCCTACGTCTTGGCAATCTAGCTAGACTGCAAATCAGAAATTGACTTTTTATGGGCACAGCCATCAAACAATGTGCCTTTACTGCAAATTTCCTTCAAGTTTAAAATGTTTCTGGGGACAGCCCTGCACACACTTTGAGTCCGTGAATCTTATGTACCCTAAGGTGCGTTACTTCCTTACTTTCATAGCACTGTACAGTGGAATTCCCAACATTCTGTGGAAAAGGAAGCTGGTTCAATTATTGAGAGTTTCAGAAAACTGAGGGTTTGAGAATCAGGTTGATCGGGTGTATTTCTTATTTTTTTTAGTTTTCAAATAATCAGCTTCATGTATTTCATGTGTACAATTAAATGTAATTGTTTCCAACATACAAAGGTAAACTCACTATTTAAATCCCTAGGGTAACCAACATTAAATTTCTCCAAACAATATCAATTCATAATCAGGAGAAAATGTTACGATCAAATAAATAAAATGATTACCAGTGGGAAGATGCTTTGATCTTTAATTAGATTCTCTAAACTGGTTCTTTAAGGAAGTGTATGGGGATCAGTCTGGAGATTTTGTATGTGGATATTGGGTCTCAAAAGGCTCTGCACTTGTTTTTCTCTATAGCATTTCCCATTGTACCGTGAAACGGAAATGAGCTGCACAGGCGTTGATGCTCCTCCCCCTGATCTAAAGCAAATCACCAATCGAGAAAAATGGGAAGTAGTTTCTAAGGAGATGTCAAATACTCTGCTGACACTGATTAGACCACGCTTGGTTCTCAGTGGCCACACCCATCATGGCTGCTACCTGGTGCATGAAGATGGGACCCCAGAAATGACTATACCATCATTCAGTTGGAGAAACAGGAACAACCCTAGTTTTGTGCTAGTAAGTGAATGAAGTACTTTAGTGGTTAGCAATATCAGCAATGCACATGAGACTGAATCATTAGAGGCCTTTAGATTCAAAGACAAGGATGATTACGAGGGCAATGTTTTCTCACCAGTGCGTGCACGTGAACCAGCGTTATTTTGGCGGGAAAAAGTGATAGCCGTCGTCATTCTACCATGGGCTTTAGCAAGAATGCTGATTAGTAGAAACAAGTTATCAGTGGTTAAAAGTTTAATCATTTTGCAATCTTGAGAGGGCAAACTTCCTTCAATGAAAATAACCATGCTAATGTTTGTGGTGAAAAAAAAAGTTACACTAAAGCTTTCCAGGGTGCATATTTGTCGAACATAAAAACTTTAAGTTGTATCTCGTCCTCATAGTCGTCCTCGTCCTCGAATCTATAAAAGGTCTCTATGTTGTGTCAAACTGTACCATGGGCTGAGTGTTTTCATTGTTAAATACTAAAACATCTAGCTCGGATGCCCTGTTAATGGAAGCGTGTACACCTGACAAATGGGCTAGCACTTGAAGCGTCAACTGACGAAGCCAAACTTAGTTTCTTAGAACTACACGAAGAAGAAAACAAAAACACTTGAATTTTTAACAGTTCCATGAATCCTTTTTCTCCCATAGTGAATGAATGGAGTCTTGTAAGGCGTGGTTGTAACTTTTGAGTCTGTGGACGAAATTCTATGTTGTGACGATTCAAAATAAAACCTCTTCAGCAGTATTTTCACACGGTGCTATTTATTTACCATGTTGTTCTAACTTTTGAATCTGTGGACGAAATCTTATGTTGTGACCATTCAAATGAAAGCTCTTCAGTAGTACTTTCGCATGGTGCTGTTCGTTTTTCAACATTTTACAAAGTGAGATTTTGAAATTTGTTGAATTTTGACTTTGTCCATTTCTAGGAGTGAAAGGATTTAAGCTCCGTTACTGTAGATCAGGACCCGCTTTTCACTCAGTGTTCTCGTTTCTTTTCAGAGTGTCATCACACCAGAGAGATACGCCTTGTCCAAGTGTTTTATACCCCGGGAGAGTACAGTCATTGCGGTCTATATCATTGCTGGCCTTGCTTTTGTGTTGGTGAACTTTAGACCTACCTATCGTTATTTCAAAACGCGAAGAACATGCAGACAAATAACACTCGATTGTTGCGTTAGATAGCATAGAAAAATGATTTATACCACTGGCATTTATAAAAGGATCTAGTCTGGCCTTGCGTCGTGTAAGATAATCGAAGAAAATCTGGGAATTGATATTCCAGATACTGGATTGCGGGTTCCTTGTCAGGGGAATTTTTATTCCGGATTCCTGGAGCTGAATTCTGGATTCCAAAGCCCAGGAATCGGGATATCTCATACATGGAGCGAGTAGCCTGTGTTGAGGCGTTCCTGCTTTCGAGCGAGACACCGAGAGCATTTTTCTATATTACTTGGGGATGAGGAGCTATGAGGCGAGGTGAGAGAATTATCTGATGGGATTTCTAGTGTTATTATACTTATTGCTGTAAATGATAGGAATACAGCTGAATGAATCTCTCCATAGCGGCCATCTTGGGAACAGAAGAAAGTAACTGTTGCCGGTAGAGAGGAGTCAAAGTATGGACTGTCCGCCAAAAAAGTGGCCGTTTTAGAGAGGTTTAAACAAGAGCGACAAGTGCTTTGTTGTATTTGTTTGCCGCCCGCTAGTTACGCGTGTCCGCCACCATAAGTCTGCCAGCGACATTGGAATAGAGACTGCTGGTGTTTAGTTGTGTATTTTTAGCAAAATGGTTCGAATGTCGTAGGACAAGCTACTGAGCGGAATTATTTTTAACGAGGAGCCGATTCTGTTTTTAACAATAGTTTTAACAGTTGAACCTCCCTCCAACGGCCAACTTGGGGAAAGAAGAAAATGGCCGTTGTAGAGAGGTGGTTAGACTGCGAGCAGTCTCTCCTTTTTCTTGGTCCGTCGAGTAAAACGCCCGAGACACGCAAATGACCACGCGCGGATCTGGCTATGCCAGCAGTCTCTCTTTTTTCTTTTTTCTTCTCGGGCTGCCGCCCTCGTTTCTCGTGTCTCGGGGCTTCGCCGCTCAACGCTAGTGCGCGTGCACTCCCCTCACTAAATCTGAAGAAAAGAGAGACTGCTCGCAGTCTAAGAGGTGGCCATTTTAGGGAGGTTTAACTAGAGTCAGTTGTGTGGACTGTCTGCCAAAAAGAAAAGTGGCTTTCGAAGAGAGGTGGCCGTTTCGACTGTAGTACCAAACCGTAATCAAACTAAAAACAATCATCTTCATTGAGTTTTTCTGTTTCTCAAGACCGTAAAGTGGGCGGAAAACTCCACATCATCCAGATTCAATTTTAGGCTATGTTCATACTAAACCGGATACTTAGCTTTTCGTGGCGGCAGTGTGACTGAAAACCTATCCAATATGTGACCTCAGAGAACGGCGCGGCGCAGCTTCGCTCCGTCACGGAAATCGATCGCGCCGCCACAACCGTCTTGTGTGTGTACAGAAGCCCTATTCGGTAGGATTTTCGTGGCCAGCGCCGTAGCTAGTATGAGGCCAACCGAGGCACTCGCCTCGGTAAAATTTTGACGAATTTCGCCGATCATTTTTATTTTACATAAGCGATCATCGGATATTTTTAACGCATCATGATATTACAAAGAATTCGGCAATTCAGTCAATATAACTATGAAAAAATTACCATATCATCGATCTCAAGAGGCTACGTACGTTAACTCAAATTTTTTTTGAACAAATACTGATCAAAACCATTGGCGAGGTTAACGGTCACCCAGATTATGTAGCTTGTTTCTGATTATTGCTTTTTAAATTCCACTTAAATTAACTCGAAAAAAAGTTACCGAAACGCCCAGAAAACGCTGCAAATCGCATTTCCGAGAGCCTAAAGTTCAAAATTTCTCGGGGGGGGGGCATGCCCCCGAACCCCCCTAGCAACTCCCGCCTGCCTCGGTTGGCCGTTTGGTCTGGCTACGGCACTGGTGGCGGCCGCGCAAAAGCTATCCGGTAGAGCGTGAAAATGGCCTTAAACAGGGGCACCCAGCGGCAATTTTCGGGAAAATATCTGTTCGGAAGACGATTTGAGATCTAGAATTTTCGGAGCATTTGTTGTAAAATTTCTTGCTTGCCTGCCTCTCCTAGGATTTTCGAACACCTACAAAATGGTATAATTACCCATTTTTCAGGGGCACCCAACGCCAATTTTCGGGAAAATATCTGTTCGGAAGACTATTTGAGAGCTAGAATTTTCGGACCATTTGTTGTAAAATTTCTTGCTTGCCTGCCTCTCCTAGGATTTTCGAACATCTAAAAAATGGTATAATTGCCCATTTTTAACGGATTTTTACCCTAAAAAGGTCACCTAGAATTTTCGGGAGCCTTTTTTCTGGCTTAAATTTTCGAAAAGGTAAGTTTTGATCCCTATAACTTTCGCATCACTAGACTTTCAGCTAGGAAATCCGAACAGATGGGAAATTTTTAGGGGATAAAAATATGCCTATATATACCGTTTAAATACTGAAATAAGTTCAACAATGCTGCGTTTAAGTGATTTTGAACTATATTCTCGTTGGGTGCTCCTGATAATTATTGAATAGTGTTTGGACGTCTGTATGTAGTTCCGTGATTGTATTAAACTGAGCGGAATATTACTCGGAGGAATGAGTCAGTGAAAAAGACAAAAAGAGATAAAAACGTTTAATAGCCTGGGGGGTTTCCCGTTGTGTGTAAAGCTTTAAATTATAAACTACTGGCAGGACAATGAGGACATTTCGAAAATTTGCTTGTTATGATTCATCAGTATTGTCTCAAAGCTCCAAGACATCGTCGGCTTTAGAAAAATCATTTCATAAACTGAAGAGATGCTCTTTCTTCTAGTCTAGTTTTGATATAGATAGCAATATTAAAAGGCTGAGGAAAATTTTTATTTATCTATAATAGAAAAAGTTTTCATATTAAAATTAAACTGAAAATTAGTCAGCGCCTTGGATGTCTCTTATGCAAATTCAAGAGCTCTTGTGAATCCTCGTGTAAAATGCAGCCGATGATGCTGTGATAATGAATTTTGATTAAATAAAAACCTCGATAATCTGTGGTCAGGAGAAGTCGGTGTTCGGATCAAGAGAAATTTGCTCAGTATTGATGGGTATTACCCGGGGGGGCACTTGGGTATTTTTTGGGTGGGTATGTGCCGCCCGGGACTCCAAATTGGCACCCCGTTCTAAAAAAAATTTCCCTTAAAATAGATACCCCGTTCTAGAAATGGGCGAACTTTTTATACCCCGTTCTAGAATTCGCCCTAAAACTGATACCCCGTTCTAGAAATGGGCCAATTTTTTATACTCTGTTCTAGGGTGCAACAAGAGTATAACAGCTTGTTAACGCATTGAACTGTATTTTTAAAAGCAATCTGTCCTTGAATACTTTCAAATGGCTGCTTACAAAAGTGGAGCTTTCATGCGTTCGAAATATTATACCCCGTTCTAGAAAACGCCTCTGAAATGGATACCCCTTTCTAAATCAGGAGCTACAAAATCACGACCCCTTTGGGCGGCACATACCCGTATAGGTAATGTATGGGAGTACCTCCCCCCCGGGGGGTATTATCAGTAACGTAAATATGTTTTTACATTTCGTGTTTTATCGCTGGAAAACAGTACTCAAACAATCTTAAAACATTCTGTCGTGTTGAAGTGAAAGACATATATTGTCACTCATTTGAATGGATATTTCTCCTTTTGACAACTCGCTGCCACTGCATGCAAAGGTGACAGACTTTGTTATTGATTGCCTTAGCTTTTATGAAGAAGTTTTTCGTGTTAAGCGAGAATTCTCCGTCACAAAAAGTAGGTTTAGGTTTTTAAAACGTTCAATTGAATTATACCTACGCTGTTTTAAATCAGTCTATTTTCATCTGCGTTTCAAATTATTTAAACATTTTTCCCAGTAAAGACAAGCAGTCGAACAGAGCGAACAGCACGCTATTTGGTGGACACTAAATGTTATGTCTGTGGAACTGAGTTTTGTCAAAAATGTCCTAGAAAAAGGATAGTTTTAAATTTTTCAAGAATGATAGTATAAATAGAAGCTAATAGAAAAGATCATGGAAATAGTCATGGAATTTGAAGAGAGTTCGAACCCTGTAGAAATAAAAAAAAATCCATTAAATGGTCTTGATTTTTATTTTAATTATTACGACTTAAATTAAATAAGGCTTTCCTTCAAAGGCGATAGTTTGAATGTCAACTGTCCATAAATTTGTTTTATGTGTTGATAATTTCACCCACGGTGAATTAAAGGTGTCGTTAATTTTGTTCATGAATACTCAGAGTCGATTACTTGTCGCACTCAGTCACTTCCTTATCTCTAATTTTTCCGCTGAATTAAATCAATAATGAGTTTGTCAACGTAAGAAGCAAGGAAATCGACCTCTGGCGCCAGAGTAGTTCACCAGACGAAATAACCTGAATCTTCTTTATGTCCTTTGAGGAAAACAGTAGATAATCATTGCAACAAAATGAAAAGTCAAATGTGAAAGAAATGGACGGACGGGAATTAAATTTTTTATCTCTCTCTCTCTTTTTTTTCGAGAAAACAAACACATTAACTGCAAGAGCATTAATTGGCAAGCATGTATCTTGTATGTGAGTGGAGCTCAAACAACCAAAGACTTCCTCCTCCGCATTCAAAGCCTAGATAACTGATGAAGTTGTCACAGGTTCTTTGTCGAACTTGACACCGTCACAGAATTTATTTTTATAAACACGGTGAAACTAACCACGGTAAATTTGTATTATTATAACTATAAAGAAAGCCCAATTATATTCAGCGTTAAGTACCGCTGCTCTTTTACATGTATAATTTATAGTGTGTCTTAAACATTAAACACGCTTACTGTTCTTAGTAGAGGACAAAAGTGTAATTTTCTCACTGGCTGACAAACTGTTAAAAACTGTCTTATCCTCATTTTTTCACCGTAAAATTGTTATTTTTGTTCTGTTGTGAAATGGTTGTTATTTTTATTCCGTCGTGAAATGTGTGTTTTGGGTATGATCGAAAGTAAATGCTTATGCAAATGAAAAGAAAATACTTCTAGCTATTAACACATTACCGAGTGCCAGCTTCTTGAAACAATGTCCCCTAGTGTGACAAAAAGGATCTTGCCCTGATTATTTCAATACAAAATCGAGTGTAGTTTGTAACTCCTCAAAAGGCGAATGAACCTTTATTTTCCTCTCGAATGGTGAGCTATACCACGTATTAAAAAAATAATAACAAAACCGAAAATTTACAGGTGATACAACAGTTTATAGCAACTCGGGAATTGTTCCGTGTTCTCTTGTAGTTTTGCGACGTTTTACTCGGCGTATAACTCTTTTAAACTCCTCGCGGTATTTCTCGTTGAATATGGTATACACTACCGGATCCGCTGCGCTATTAACGAACACAAACGTATTGGCTACAATGACCCAAGTATTGCACTGCGGGCAATTGTTTTCACTGAAGTCTAGAGCCAGCCAAACGATATGGTTAGGCAACGAACATAAAGCGAAAACCACCGTGACGACGATCGACATCTTTAGCACTTTTTCCGCGTCGTGGGCATGATATGGTTGTGTGGAGGAATCCTCTCTCGATGCGCCGTTTTTGCGAAGTTCGGCGCAGATCTTCACATATGAACCAAAAACCACCGTCAAAGGCACTGCGTATTCTGTGATGAATATGGTAACCGAGTATACGCGGCTGTATGTGTCCTTGGGTTCAGGCCAGCTCTCGGCGCAGTGTCCGGTCTCAAGATCGAGCTGTAAAACCAACACATAAGGCAGAACCAAGACAAAAGAGATGATCCATATTGCGACGATACTTCTCTTTGTAGCAGCTAGACCCATCTGAGGTTTTAGAGGGTGCACAATGGCGCGATATCGGCTGAAGCCGATCGCAGTTAGCGTGAAGACCGAGGCATAAGCACACATGGTTTGCAAAGGGAAGAGCGCCTTACACAGTGCACCAAAGTACGGCCAAACACAGGAATTCTCTTGCACGGGTATATCGAATGGTATACATATCACGGTGAAGGCCAAGTCCGCCACGGCCAAATTCACCAGGTAAAAATTCATTACTGTCCGCATTCGAAGTCGTTTCCAAACAACCCAGCAAACAAAGCAGTTACCACAGAGACTGGTAATAAAAATCGCGCTGAGAATCACATATTTCAGTATTGTTATAGCTTCGTGCTCCCCAGTATTTGAACAAAATTCGATTTTCGAGGTTTGGTTTAAACCCTGCATTTTGGCCGTCGTGGTATTCATGTTCAACCGCGCTTTTCAACTCGAGATTCGAGTTTTCTCCCCAATTAAAAAAAAGAGAGAAGAGAGAGAGAGGGAGAGCGAGAAATGAACCAGTGAATAAACTGAAAATCCCAAAGTGTCCGCTTAGCTCTGCTTGCTGATAGGATGGAAATGTCACAGATGTCATAACATCAGCTGAGTTAATAATGTAGGATGCTAAATACGGAGCAGTTTTTTTTTTATCATATGGCCCGGGGCAGGTGTGTGAGATATCTGCTGGCCAGACTTCACTCGTCGTCCACTTAGCCTCTTTTAACTGTGCAGCTTTCAATAAGCGTCAAAATGAAGAGTAGAATAATTATTATGTACTCAAAAATGCCAAAGGAAAACTTTAGCCTTAGGCGATCAGCAATTTTTTAAATGGCCCTTAAAAATGGCGCGCATGTCGAGAAATATCGTGTTGCGCTGCTGTAGGCTATTTATAAAACCTTATTTTGTTGGTAGTCAGTTGCATTGATTGCTTTGAGACACTCTGTACACCCCAGTGTGTTTAAAAACAAACAATACTTATTTCTCATAATAAACTAGACTTGGAGTGGAGATATCACTAAGACTGTTTTGCAAGTGAAAACTTATCGCGGCCGAACGGAACCTTTCGGGCGAGCTGCAAGAAGAAGTGGAAGTTTCTTTTTGAGGAGAATATAGGAACAGTCCATGTAAATTTCGCTCAAATATATATATTTTTTTTCACGCTGGCCCTTCTCCTCCAATATTGACGCAGCTGACTAGTGCCATATTAAAAGAGGAATCAGTTTCTTTTCTTAAGGCTGCATATTAAAAAACCTTTGATCGAGGATATGTTTACACTATACCGGACCGGCGGATGCACTTGCGCCGTTACTAAACCATACCGATCCATACCGGGCAGGTCTTTTGTCCACACATAAAAGCGTTGAATTCGGCGCGATTTCTGTACCGGAGCGAAGGTGCACCGCGCCGGTCTCGAAAGAGAAGCATCACGTATTGCTTAAATATGTATAATTATATAATATTCATGCTGGTCCATCTCCTCCAATATGGACGCAGCTGACTAGTGCTATATTTAAAGAGGTATCAGTTTGTTTTCTTATTAAAGGGTACATGTTTTAAAAAACACCTTTGATCAAGGATATGTTTACACTATAACAGGTAGTGGGGGGAATCATCCAGGCCCTGAGATAAGTGGGGGGAGGGCCGGTCTCAGAAACAATTTTTTTTTTCGGCCCTTCGGGTCTCAGTTTGGTCCAAAAATAAGGGGGGGCCAGGGTCCCCCGGGCCCCTCCCCTAGATCCGCCACTGAATCACCGGACCGGCAGATACACTTGCGTCTGCGCGAAAACCATACCGATCCATACCGGCAAGAGAGAATGAGCTAAAAGAGCGAATCCCTGTGCCCCATGATAATTTTTTAAAATCTATTTAAAGTTCGCGCCAATCGCGCGCGTGCTGAGAAGGTTATTTTTGTCTGTTATTTCCGTGACCCCCGCGGTCTACTTTCACGTGAACGTGACATGTTTTGCCGCCAAACAATTTGAAGCTTGACAGCCATTAAAATAATTAGCGCCAGGAGCCAATACTAATCGGCTTCTGTTGTTGACATGTTTTTGATCAGCGCTTTCTGCTGAGAATTTAGGAGTGAATTTCATTTACAAAGGGATTGCGGCACTGGAGTCAAAATTTCATTTTGAGATTAAAGATTGAGATTTTCTAACGCCTCATTTAAGTAATGGTCCGCGTAAAAACTAGGCAGGCAAAACGCAAAATCGATTAAAAGGTGTTAACTTTTAATCATTAATTGCAATTAAATCAAGGGTTCTGATTGGCTGAAATCCAAAAATTGCTGAAAAAACAGCGAGAAACGTAACAAAAACAACTTTTTTTAGCTTTATTTTCCTCATTCTCCTGTCTTTTACCCCACGGCCAAGTTTAAGCATTGTTCTATGTTAGCGGAAAACGTGCAACACATGCGTGACCTTGCTGTGAACCATCTTGGATGCGATATTTGAGATATGAGGAAAATTTTCTTTTACCCGAAGAAATATCGTCAATTTCATCGCTTAAATCTACATATATTTAACATATTGCTTTTATTTTATCATCGGAGTGATCGTGAAATTCCTACTCAGGTAAATTAAGGCATGGGCCTCAATTTGCCTTAATTTGCTCTCTTCAAAAGTGAGGGGGTGGTCTATATCTAAGAGCTTTAGATGAAGAGACATAAAACTTTGCCAGCTACCCACATTTTTAGTTTGTGTCAATTTCGTAATTTAAAATTATGCAAATTAGGTCACGTGACCTCCATCGGCTGAAAAAGCTTGTTCTTGAAACTGCAACACTTTTTCGTGTGTCCCCAATTATTTTACTGGTTGCATAATATTAAGACTGTTTAGTACAGTCGACTCCCGATAACTCGAACCCTCAAAGGAAATCGAAAAAAGGTTCGAGTTATCGGGAGTTCAAGTTGCCGGGAGTTCGAAGAAAATAGCCGAGAGTAAGGTAAAAAACAGTTTTTACTTCACAGTGAACATTTTAATCCCATTTAATTGTAGAAATGTCCAGTGAAAATTAAAAGATACTTTTAGATTATAAATCAGAACGTAACGTAACAAAACATAGCCTGAATAGAGCATGCGTCTTACTGTTTTGAGAAGAAAAGCTGCTTCACGTTAGCCTGTGACAATCAACATTAGCCTCCACTAGTAAACTATACTCCTACAACACTTCAATAGGAAATCCAAAATTCAATGTTTCGGACGCCTGTAGACGGCTTTTTTCCCGACTTTTTAAGGGCTCAAAACATGGTTCGAGTTATCGAGGGTAAAATTATATAGAAAATGACTCGAAGGGAAACGAAAATTGGTTCGAGTTAGCGGGAGCTCGAGTTATCGAGGGTTCGAGTTACCGATGGTAAAATTACAGTGAATGTATGACGGAAATCCAGGGGAAATCGATTTTGGTTCGAGTTAGCGCGAGGTTCGAGTTATCGGGAGTCGACTGTATCACTTCTGTGCTTGGCCTTTTTTAGATATTTAAAATCGAAGGCGTTAAGATGGGATGCAATTGCTTTGGGGGACTGGGTCTAGTTGAAAAAGCCGTTTATTTTCTAAAACGGTAAAACATTCAAAAAAGGCCAAGCACAGTTTTGTAGATGCTTCCATTACACATTAGGGCCATTTATACGAGGAAAAATAAGACGCGTCTTACATAAGACGCGTCTTAAATAAGACGCGAACTTTCCGTATAAACGGCACATTTCGTCTAAAATAAGACGCGGCTTAGCTAAGACGCGTCTTATTTGATAAGACATGCTCGTATAAATGGCACAGTTCGCGTCTTATTTAAGACGCGTCTTATTTTTCCTCGTATAAATGGCCCTATTGTCCTAAACCAATCCGGTTTAATAACTCACAACAAAAAGTGTTGCCATTTTTGTTTAAAGACTTTTTTTGTTTTCTGGCTGTGTGGAGTCACGTGACAACATTTGCATAATTGAAAATCACCTAATTGACAGAAAACACACATGTATGTATCTGGCAAAGTCTCATCTTTTTACTACTGAAGTGCTCAGAGATAGACCACCCCCTATCACTTTTTGACTGAATCATTGGGGACCCATGCCTTAATTTACCTGAGTACTGTAGCAGCGTTTGCAGCTGTCCTCAACATGTCGTCGAGTGGCCATGTGGACAAGTAGGACCGAAGCAGTTGTTTATGAAACGGCTGGAAACTGCTTTTAACGACTTCTAGACACTAAAGGAGTGTAAGAAACAACACGGCTCCTGACAATTTTCAGTTGTAAAAAATTTTGACCAGGGTCTTCGTCTGAGTTTTCTGCGGAATCACCCTGTGCTATAAAGTGTTCGAAGTCATGTCTTCCGTGATCGCCATCAAAATGCCCCATTATATTCCATGACATTAAATTACCATGTCACTCTGAGATGTTAAAGCTGTCGGTCGGTAAATGCCCAGTCTTGTATCTATCAGCGTCAACATCTTTATCTGAAAAAGTACGAGTCTTAAATCTCTGCTCGCAGTCACGTCTTTATTGCTGACGATAGAAACGTTTCCGAGATGTTATTACAGTCAGGTTGGTAGCCTGTGTACAGACGTCCCCCCTCCCTCAGAAAAAAATCGGAGAAGAGACGTCTGTGAATCGCCGTCGTTAATCGTGTTCTGGTTACATTTGCATAAATTATTTGTTTTGTTTTTTTTCACTGACAGTTGAAAAGGTGTTGACAGACCAACACGACTCTGGACTTTTTTTAGAGCACGTACGCAGTTATTCTCTAGGATGTTGTCAACCTTTACAGCTAAGCTAGTAAGCTCTAACTAGAATAGCCTGTGTACAGAGACGTCCCCCCTCCCTCAGAAAAAAATCGGGAGAATCGCGCCACTACTAAACTGCTCTTTCAGTATTTATCCGTTTGAGCTGAAACTTAGCAGGATTGTAGAACATGAAATTTTCTAGGTTTTAGAATTCCATTTTCTAGGTTTTAGAATTTTGAACTTTAACGTTTTTTGGCGGGAAAATTACGTCACAAGATAAACAAAAAAATTAAATTTTAACTGATAGTGCCTAAAATTCCTCTTTTTGAAAGACCGTAACAGGACAAAACGAGAAGGGAAAAAATTTTTGCAAAAGCTCGATTGGTTGATGAGATATAGCATTTTAAAGTTTGGCTTTGTTTCTAAAAATGGTAACAAAATGGCGGGAAATTCAAAATTTAAAGCTTAATAACTCAGCAACCAATTAAAAGCTTTTCAAAAAATTTTTTCACATTACCTTCTAGTCGTTACAGTCTTTCTAATCTACGTATTTGTTACACTATCAGTTACAATTTAATAATTGATGTCAATCTTGTGACGTCATTTTCCCGCCAAAAAACGTTGAGATTCAAAATTCTAAAACCATGGGACCTAGAAAATTTCATGTTCTACAATCCTGTTAAGTTTCAGCTCAAACGGATAAAGAGCAGTTTGGTAGTGGCGCGATTTGACCTCCTACTAGCCTGGCGTGCCAGTTTGCGCGTAAACCAGGAAACACATTTTGTGTGAATATTCTTTGTTCTTTGAGCCAAGTATTTTGTACGTGAAATTATCTGATTACAACTTCACTCAATAAACTTGTATTGAAATAACCTTGTACCGACAAAAACTGGTAATCCGTGTAAGTACCTGTTGTCCTGCAGACTCTTAATGAAAATCAGACACACCCCAGTCACTTATTTCAGTGTCCTTCGGAAAAGCCCTACCCTGCGAGCAGAGGCCCTTCGATCTTCCTAGATAAGGGCCTCTGCTCGCAGGGTAGAAAAGCCCTGCACCGAAGAGAAACGCTTCACCAATAAAATTCTAGACTATTCACAGCTTTTGAGTTCTACTCTAAACATCACACAGAAGGGATGTGAGAAACTGCAACGAGTGCAAGCACAAAGGAGCCTTGTCCCAGGGAAAAGAAAGGTCTTACATCTTCTCCATATTGAACCCGCTTACTACGGACACTTTCTATGGTCTCCTGAGTGTCTGTATTAACGGGGTTTGACTGTACCACGAGTATAATGAGTATTAATAAAATCCAACTAGTGGTCTATTATCAATGCTGCGTTCTGATTGGTTGAGCTACTACTGGGCTATATGTTATAGCCCACTAGTAGCGAAAAGCGCGGGCTTTTTGGCGGCAAAAGTCTTGCTTTAACTAGCTAATTTTTTTTTTGCGATATTTTTGATCAACTAGTTGGATTTTACTAAAACAATTATTCCTCTCGCCCTCATGGCCTCTGAGCAGGGTCGAGGAATAATTGTTAATTATAATGATGAATTCTACAAAGTAAAACTAAATTGAAACAGAAACACTTTCCATAGAAAAGCAGGAGCACATACATTGTAAGATATGGATTTCGGATTTCTTCTGACATTAAATAACCACGTCACTCGGGAGATCTTAAGTGTCGCATCACAGAAAAAAAAAATGTAGCTCTATAGAGGTCATGTAGAAAACGAATCGACTGGAAGTCACCGAGACGAAAGTAGATATTTAGTTGTGGGACTGGAATTTTTACCAAACCATCTCGGTCGACCGCTCTGGCGCGACACTGTTCGATAAGGTTCGACCAAGAAACGACGGGCTCTGGGGACGAGAATGAGGTTCGATGTGTGTGAACGACTTATCTTTACCCAGATCTCCCGCGGCCAAGGTTAGGAGAAAGAAATGAAAACCAAAGGTTATGCAAAATTTAGGGGCGGGGGCGAGCACATAAGGTGCATTATAGGCAATGTGCAAGGAGCGAATTCAACGACATTCATTCTCGCCCCCAAGAGCCACTCGTGTTAATTGACCATGTGACCAAAAGAAACGACGGGCTTTGGGGACGTGAATACCTCCTGTTTAAACCCGACGGCAAAGTTGCAGGTTTCCTCACTGTTGTAAGGGGAAAACTACGTTGTGTAAATTTCATCAGGTGTCCGAAGGGGCTACGGTCGATGGGATCTAATGATAACCTCCTCAATAAGTTCTTTCGTGCTAAATACATTGACACTCAAATAAAGAGCTTATTTCACATTTCCTTCGCCTTTTCTGTAGGCTACAAGAATTCTACGCATTATCCTCTCTCTTTTTTCTTCTCTATTTATTTTTGACAGAACACTTTTTTTGGATGAACCAAGGGTTTTTCTATTCCTTTTCAGACGGAAATTCCAGGAAACCATGTATCAATCTGAAAATGGGATTCCTGAAATTTTAATGAATTTCAGTGGAAGTTCTCGAGAGCGAACACACTCGGGACACGAAAAAGTGTCCGTAACTAGAGCTGGTAGCTTACTGGAATATAAAAATACAGAGTTTGTATGGGAGTTGAGAAAAACGGGGTTTTGGAAGGGGCAGTGTAGGAGCTGCTCAGAAGGTCTCTCCTAATTGCTCGCAGGAATTAATTAATGACATGTCGTTCTTCCAATTGTCTTAGTATTGTTTGGGGTCAGGGAAACGCATCATTGATGACTTCTCTTCCGAGCAGCTGCTACATCTCTTTGGGAAGTCGGCCGTAAGTAGAGCTGTCCGCTTATATGAGCGCTTCCGCTGTACATTAAAACAATGAGGGCCTCGCATTAAGCTGTTGTTTACTGCAATTGATTGCGCAGCTTTCATGCCTATGCTCCAGAGTGAACAGTCCGAGACTTCATTGTAGTAAGATTGTTTTATTTACTTATTGTTAGACACAATACGGTTGTTACACAACCGAACAATCTGAGCACAACCAATTCACTAAGAACTTGTAAGCCCATCCAAAGGTAATTAAAAAGTTGTGTAACCTTAAACACAGAAGACAGGATTAAGAATAGTGCCAGTGTTTCTTCTGTCGTATTCGGAGTCTATGCCACCATTCAGGAAAAATCTCATTCATCAAGAAGCCTCACATCATTAGCAGAAGAACTTGAGCTACATGGGTGTCAGTGTAAGGAAAGAGGATGGGTTCCTGGTACAAATGTTTCTTATGGTTTACAGATATTTACAATCAGTAAAAGAAACATATTTCTGCCACTGACATCTTGAAATATTATTAAGAAAATAGAGTTTAATACGTGGATGGCTGTAATGGCTTCAACAATGACATTGCTTGAGGGAACATAGTATGGTAGTTTGCAAGAGGAACAGCTCTGGCAATGATCTGTTTTCCTACAAATTAAAGGGAAAAAATCCACATTAAAACATGTCACAATGACACACGTGGCAAATTCTGCAAATGGTATTATGGCTAGTGAACCTACCGGCAAACCACCTTCCATGAAGGGCTCTTGATGCATTCGCAGCTCCTTCAGGACTGCTACATTTCACATAAACAGCTCCCTATAAATTAAATTAACAATTAGATTAACATGTTTCCCCTCGGATTTCTGGCTATAAGAAAGTTGATTCATCAAAAAAAATCATGTCTACGTGTATTTTTTTTCCTTTCTTTTACCTGGGTTGAGCTTTTATCCACATGAATGTGATATACTTGACCATATTTGGTGCACTCTTCCAAAACATCATCTCTAATATCAGCATCCCAGTCAACGTCTTTTTCTCTATTGGAAACAAAATACGAAAATTAAAGAACACCTTGCTGTTTAGCAAACAACTATCTTGGCACATGAAAAAGTGGGTTGACGAATTGAGACCAAGACAATCAGCCCACTACACCAAGAAAAATTAAACAGACAGATTGTCTTGGTACGACCATATACTTGTTCTAGCAGAAGGGCAGCAAAAGGGCAAAAATTAAAAAAGCAAATGGGTACATTTATAAGAACTCTGAAAACACATACGAACAGATCCTTGGAACTCAACATCGGAAAGACATGTTTTATTGGACTCAAAGTAGGAGTGATAGTTTTCCTTTTGATATACCTGATATTAATGGGGAGGTCACTTTAAATGTATTTGTGTAGGTAATTACATGATTTCGAGTGCAATTTGGAATAAATATGCACGAGTAAATTTTTCAAAGACCAACAAAAGTGCACAAGCCTGTAGGGCAAATACTCTTTGCGGTCTTTGAAAAATTTACAGGTGCTTATTTATTCCAAATTGCATGAGAAAAATCATGTGATTACCTATTAATAATATTCACAAAAAACATAACTACAACAACAAATTTTGACAGTGTGCGCGTTTTTAGTTCATTCAACGGACTGGCTGAAACAGACTACCACCTTTGCCAAATTCAAACTTTTTCAAGACCAATGTTTCCAAATAATCATTCAGCTAAGAACTTGGAAATGTGCAAGGATTGATTTTACATGGTCACCAGCCGGTTAAAAATAACTCGGTTTACAATAATCAGTAAAACTAAGTGTTATGAGGGCTCGGCATTTACGAGAAGGCTTTTACAAGAAGTATACTGCTGTTTTGGAAATCAGGAGAGAACACTTCGAGCAGCGAGAGATAAGACACTTGCTGAGTTGTTTAACGACTGTTCATCATTGTCTGTTCCTAAGACCCCATCACAGCTGGATTCATGGAGAAAGTTTTGAGATTTACAACCCGAAAATGAACAGGGAGCAATTTGTTTTCTTTCGACGCTGCCATCGCTGGGTGAGTGGACCCACAGTTGTTGTGATGTTGGAAACTGCCAGTATTAAGTAAATATAATAATGGGCTATTGCTCAGCGCCAAGGTTTTCATTATTTCATTTGGCCTTGGCCTATTGCAAGAGAGAGTCATCATCACTCTTCTTCGTTGGCTTCATCTTGGTTGTCAAGGAAATATAAACCTCTGTGCCCTGTTACATTGGCAATATATTCTGAACTTACAATCTTCGCTTTCTTCTCTGTTGTTTTTCTTGCACTATGATTCGTAAACTTTTTTCTCACTTTCTTTAAGGCTAGAGCCAGCTATGGATACTTTCATTATGATAGTTATGGTATTTTCGCCCATTGGTTTAGTCTGAAACAGATGTTTAAATTTTCGGTTTTGTTTGCTACTGAGGTAGAAAAAAAAAAGACCATTGCATGGCCAGTGATTTAATAGAGTCTTCGCTCAACAAAAGACTTAAAGAGAGCATCCGGATACCTTTCTCCTCCAACAAATAACGTATGTGACTTGAAATCCCTGTTGTTATAATGGAAAACTTGTATCCTTGTTCGTTTAAATGCCTGAAAAGTGTAGCTGTCATGGCTTGCATGTGGTTGCCACCATTCTTGTTCTTTATTTTTTACCTTAGCGTAGCCTGCTATAAGCAGCTTGTTTAGTTTCTCCGGCTCATTTTCCTCACTTTTGTTGACCGTATATTATTTCTCTTAGCACCGCATTTTCAATACATTTAGCAAGAAAGACATACTTTTTATGGAGTTCAGGTTTTTGCACACAAAATCAAATTGTTGTTTGCAGAAAACCATGGCCATTTTCTTAAATTTTGTTGCTAAAACAGCTAAAATCTGATTGGTTCTTGGTGGTTTCTTTTGTGTTTTCAGTCAATAAGAAACCACTTGTAATTTGCACTCGTGCTACAAGTTTGCACTCGTGTTACAGAAAAACTGCACTCCTTTCTCAGCCAATCAGAATTGAGTAATTTTTTTGTGTATATTATTCACCAGTTTAGTAATAGGGGGGTAGGGGGCTGTTCAGAGGAAGGCACATGAGGAAAGAGAGACACTAATAAGTCGTGTAATATTGTAGGGACAAAGTAAAATCTAAGGTTCTCTTTGAAGGCACTGTGTTAAGCAGGAAGCATGCTGGCAAAAGAGGGTTACACTTTTTGCTACAAACTACCACCTTATTAGCTCATGCTAAGTATACCTTATTAAAAGAAATTAATGATGCATGTTCAAAACGCGAAGAAAATTTACGTTACACAAAATAAACACCAATTTGCCAAAAGCTAGGTTTACATACATCACATTAGCGCAAATGTTTCAAAAACAATGTGCACCTAACTTTATTTTACACGAATTTGCTGCATTACAAACTTCTCAACATAAAGGTGACCATGCATTGGGAGGATAAACGGGCCATGAAATTTGAAGACAAGAGACTGAAAAAGTTAGCTATCCCCTCGAGAAAATGGATCAATACAAAGGTCCGTTCAAATAACATTTTTAACTTAATTCTCAAAGAAGAACTGTCAGATACTGACTCCGAGGCATTGATAGAGGAACTATGAGCAGATGAGGTTTTGTTATTGAAATAAAGGTGCTGTAAAACCATGATGTGAATTGTGTGATTTAAATAACATTGACATAAATTAAGATGCATTAAATTAACCCGATTTGCATTAATAAAGTGCATCGTTAATTTCCTAGAGTAAGGTATATTTCAACATAATGAACAACCCCATCTTAAAAAGGGTAAAAGGATGGGGGGTTGGAGGCACGAAATACATGATCAAGACAATGATGAGTAATTAAAACAAAGGAGACAATGGTTACAAAAACTTTACAAAGCAAACCAAGCCAAAAGGTGAAGGAGAAACTGACAACTTACTTGGTTGGATCAAACATATTGAGCAGCATAATGCAAGGAGTAGGAAGTGGGATTGAGACTGGTGCAGTCATAGCTTGCTGTACACCTACTACTGGTGCTGGAACTCCTGGCACAGAGAGTCCTGCATCATGAATAACATAGACCAGGTTAAACTGAATGAGTAAGTGGCTGCTTACTAGAGGTTTACTTTAAAAAAATCACATAACGTTTTACAATGATTTCAGGACCTTGATTGCCGGCTGCTTAACAAGGTTCAACCGTAGGCAGCATTGTTGAAATAAGTAACATCCTTTCACTTCTTGCACAAGTTTCTACACAACAGAGGTGCAGCAGGTGCAACATTGTATGGTATATGATGTTTAGTTTTTCAGTGTTCTTTTTTCTTTTAACTGGAAAAAGCACCCTAACAATCAAACAGATTACCTACAAACTTCACACTAAACTATGTTGCCAACCCCTGATACTTTTTATCCCATTTCCATAATTAGCAACTGGTGAATCTAACTATGAACAGACTGCATAAAAAATATTGCGGGCGACAAGAGGAGCCCACAGACTATTCTTGGTCAGCGGTACTTTATGAACTGTACAGCAAGGTTTTTCCAAAATCTGTCCACATTTTTGGGATGCCAGTGTTGTATCGACCAGTATGCATAGCATGTGGCCACAAAGGCCCTGGTGTTGAGCATGACACAGTGATCATGTAAATGCACATGCAAGTTATGCAACAATCATTGTTAGATTCGCAAGCATGCATCATTCAGGTACACAAGAACCGTACTAAATGTGAGACTTTTCCTTTCATCTTGCCAGCTGGGAATCTATTTACCCAGGAAGATTAAAGTAGAGCCTGATCTAAGCTTAGTGCACGATGAGTTTTCAGTAAGATAAAAGTGATGGCAAAGTCTAGATGTAAATAAAGTTTATTCAGCTTTTACTGGAGTGCATGGTTTTTAAATTTTTAAGCATTTCCAAGCATGTTATGTTGCTTGTCATCTGAAAGATTCAATACCCTTCAAACTTCAATGGTAAACTGAGCTTTTTCGTTATTTTTAATTGCATATCAATAGCATTTGGCCATTGGACACGGACTCAATAACCGATTGAATAATAAGACTTCATATACATATTGCAGTCATGTTATGTCACACATTACTGTTTTCATTGTATCTTTGCCTGTGAATACACCCTTCTCTCCTCACTCCTAACCAATTGCAGGCTAATAGTATCTAAGGAACTGTGAATAAAATCGTTGAATTAATAATATTACGAATCTTGTTTACTGTGTTGTTCAATTAAGTTTCACATCCATGATCCGCCGCGATTCCTTTTGTTGATGCTGGAACTAAAAGGGCTTTCTCTACACATGAAAGAGGGTCTGCTCAATCCCATCTCTGAGGTAAGCCCACAGGTTCGCCTGCACTATGTAACCATCGGTTACTGCTCGTTTAAAATGGTAACAGGGCCTAAGAAAAGTCCAGTTTTGTCTGTAGATGTATTCCCTTATATATGATTAAATATCCTTTTAAAATAAACAAAAACAGTTGACAGTATAGCAGAGCGGCAGTCTTATTTGTTTAATCACAATATTAAGACTGATCGAAGACAGAATAGAATAAAACAAAGTTTTACCAAGGGTACAGTTTACGACATAGCTACTACATACCAGCTGAATGTCCTTGTGATAATTTAGCCATAAGTGCAGCTCTAGCTGTGGAGTTCAGTTCCACACCACCCTTTTCATACTCTTCATCATCCAAGAATGAATATGAGGAGGAATCTCCTCTTTCTGTCACAGGCCCAACTTTCATAGGCCTCCCTGCAAGTTCAAAACCATTCATCTGATCCATAGCCTGCCTAGCAGCCTCAGCATCTCTGAACTGGAGAAAGCCATAACCCTTTGACCTCCCTGTTTCCGAGTCATAGATCAACTGTACACTGTCCACAATTCCAAATGGTTCAAATATTGCTTTGATCATTTGCTCGTTGATGTTAAAATGCAGGGATCCAACATACAGTCTTGTTGGTCCAGGTGGTTGCTTCAGCTTTTCAGCCTCAGCAGCAGCTCTGTTCTTTTCTGCTTGTGTAGGCATTACCATGATAGGTGCACCCAAAAGTTTTTGACCAGACAGATTAATTGCCTAAAAATACCAATAAAAAACTCATCTTGTTATATGTACAAAAACTGTCAAACCATTGGTGCCAAGAGAGCGTTAGACCCATTACTGTCTCAAAAAGTAAAAATACTTTACAATCATTGAAGAGCATTATTTTGCCCAGTTTAACAGGTAATTAAAACCCTATTTAAGCCAACCTTGGCTGGTTCTTCGAGCGCACTCAATGCAATACAAGAACACAAAACAGAGGAGATCTAATGCTAAAAATGATCTTGTTCCTAAAATACACAACAATTGTCAGAACTTGTTAGCTGGAATAACAGAGCCAAAATGTTGAATTTGTACAGAAAAAAGCAATCAAAAATCCTTGAAAGCAAACAGATGCTGCTTGTCAAGAGATTCATAACACAACATTTTAGGCAAGAAATATACAGTGTTCTGAATAACAGGAATGTTATAAGAAGAAGACTTAGATTAACTCACCAATGGCACAGCAGATCTATCTGTAAACTCCACATAGGCTATTCCTTTGGATCGTCTGGAGTTGCGATCTGATATAATTCTAACATCGGCAACCTGAAAAAAAGAGTAAGTTGACAGACTGACCAAACAAAAAACGAACAAAACAGGACAGGAGGAAGGGGATTTTTCAGCAAGAATTGGAAGAATGATGACTTACTTGTCCCACTTTTGAAAAGAACTCTTCCAAGTCTCTGGGCCTGATATTCCTTGCAAGCTGCATACAAAATGCTGTTCTAGCATCTCTTTCTTCTGGTGTTATATCCTCTGCGGGTTTCAGTTCTCTTCTACACAAAAGAGCCAAACATGACAGGGTCAGACAGGGGAGTCAAGTACATTAAAGATAGCACTTTTCACCTTACTTTTATTGGTTTCCCTTGTTTCAGTGTATGGAAGTAAATACCTTTCTAGATGTTGCTCCACAGGGCTTCTGTTGCCATCACTTCCTTCTTGCTCATCTCTTCTTCTTTGTTTACTTGGGCTTGGACTGTGACTTGCACTTCTTTGCCTGCCACTTCACATTCCCCAGAAAAACAAACAAACAAATAACATTTTTAGCTCATGACGTAGTCATGCCATGGGCTTTTGGAGGCACTCGAATGGCACTCGATCACTCACTCACTCACTCACTCACTCACTCACTCACTCACTCACTCACTCACTCACTCGATTCTCATTAATTTATTCATTAAAGTCAGATTAAACACGTTACTCCTACCTCCCTTACTTAGTATCACTTTTTTTCCAAGTGCCTTTTACGTATATGTTTGGAATATCCTAGAGGGTACTAGTAAGGGGAATTTTTTTTCCCAACACATCAATAGAGATGGGTTTTGTATAAATAACAATATTTTAAAGAACACTGATAATATCCTCCGCAAGAAATGGACTTAGAATTGTTAAAAGGACATTGAAATGATTGAGCGTGGATCTTTGCTGTATATTTGGACCAATTGTGCACATTTGTTCCCGATATTGTACTTGATATGGAAAAGATGCAATCAGGAGTGTGAAAGAGCTATTGACGCCTGACGATGGGATTTCGTTCAGCTTAAAAGCTTAATAAGCCAAAGAACCTTATAATCACTGCAAAAAAACTGTCCTCGAATTGTTAAAGCGACATTGAGGAGTGTCTATTGAGGTATATTCAATTATTTGGACGAATCCGTTCGACCATTTGTCTTCGTATGCAAACAGGGAATAAATTAATGTTGTGTCAACTAGAAGCACAGGTTTTAGAAGCAACAAGCGCTACGCTATTTTGCTTGAATTCTTAGGTGATCTTTGCCTTAAAGAAGGCTTTTGTTTGTCGGTGATTCCATTTAGCAGTGCTATTAATGTAATTTCTACAAGAAATGCTGCGGTGGTATACACAAGTCTCTGGCGAAAGGCAATCGGATACTTCGACTGCGTTATAAATTACTTGGCTAGGTCAGAGCACGTACTGCTTTGAGCTTAATCCGTTTTACATGTATTAAAATAATTTTTAGCTCGTGTTTATCAAAAGCGCGTTCTAAAGTAGTTCAATTTGGCCATAAACGCCTGTATTCTGTATTTAATATAGCTTGTACTGCGTATACTAACTGTTACGTACTCATCATATGGAAACATTTATTTGAAAGCATCGCACTTTTAAAACCACGGTTTGAATAAGACTCATGTATGTAAAACTTGGCTATTTTACAAGAAAGTGCACTGTCGTTCGGAAAGTGTTTGACAGTCACATGAGAAAGCAAATTATTTTCCAACTAAAAAGCGTTAATAAGTGCTTTTAAAAGTGATCTTTGCTTTGTAAGTAGAAACGCTGCGCTAATAAAAAGTTTCTAGAATATTCAGGTGCACATGCAATCGGATACTTCGAGTCACGCTGTACTTGGCAAGTCCGTACAAAATGAACCGTTAAAAAAGATTTATATGTTTTTCTTTGATTATTGAACTGTCTTTTCTACACTAATTCAATTCATCCATGAGCTCGCTCCTAGGAGCCTTTGATTAATTATTGGGGTCTTCATTCTCGGTAATCTCAAAACTTATTGCTACCCCAGAAACAAACATTACAACACAACTTGTTCTTAACTATACAAACCTTTTACGTCTTTTATCAGGGCTTCTTGAACGGCTCTTACTGCCACTGCTGCTTCGACGTCTCCGCCTCCTGAAAACCAATATTGTCAATAATAAGAAAACAAAAAGCCAAAAAAGTTTTAACACGTTTGGGTGTCAGTAATAAATTAAGATCAGCATGCAAAGAAAGTCGTGTCTGATAGCCCTGGGCTAGCGGATTTTACTGTCGCGCTAGTGAATTCAGTTCTTAACTTAAATTTTTTTTAAGGAATAATCACAAAAGAACCGTTATCAACCCTGCTCATCTCATCTTTGGGCTAGTTAAAATGACTTTTGAGCTAGTACATGCTAACTACAGCTTGCCCGAATGGCAAGCTGTAAAACTGACTTTCTTTCCACCCAGTAAGACTAAACAATTCCAGCGATCTGCTTGTGCACCTGTTTTTCCTCATATGTGTTACATATAATTTAGTAATATTTTGCAAACAAAATTTGTTTTTCCCATCTTTAAATCCAATGAGCAGTTGAGATATCAAAAATAACAGAAAGGTAATTCTGCCATGGAGTGATGATCATGCAACTCATCTCATCTTTGACAGTTCATCATTATAATAATATTATGTGCCTGCCAAACCTAAAATTTGGCCTACCATCTAGCCAATCGCCAGGCCACTATTCTGAGTTCTGCAGAAACAGCTGGAACACTTTCAGGCGATTCAATATTTGGGGCTGTGTAATTATAGTGAATGTTTTTCTGCCCCAGCAAAAGATGCGAAAAAACATTTGATGGCCTTTAAATCAATCTGTGTCCAAGTGCCATAAATTTTTAATATTTTGCCTCTTTGGGAATTTTTGGGTCATGAATGTGGGATGCGGGGCTAACCAGATTACTTTGAATTTGTAAACAAATCAGTCTTACTGTACCTGTCACGACTTCCTGAGCGGCTTCGTCGCCTTCTGAAAAAGGAAAAAAATAAATACAGCAGACAAAATAAATTAGTACACGTAGAACACTCGTCATATCTACCACTCTGAAAATACAATTTCAAAAGCTGTGCAATAATTTCAATTATTGCTATCCTTACCTGTCACGACCAGGGCTCCGGCTACGACGGCGGCGACTTCTATGGAGAAGAAACCAAAAAATTTGTTAGAATTTTACTGCTGGTTAAACAGTTGTATCATTAAATACATTAGGGACATCTTTCTAGGTGCCAAAAAGACTGTCAGAAGTCTCGTTATCCAGCTCAGAATGAGAGCCAAACTAAGTAACAATTGAATGACAACAATGAATTGAACATGATTTGTTGGTTTTGCAAATAATATGAAAAACAAAATGCGGCAGACCCCTAAAAAACTTCTATAGAAACAATCTTAATATGAAGTAAATAAAAAAGAAACAGTGATGAAACTACTTATCGTAGTTTTTCTGGCAGAAACGAGTATTATAGTCTTGAGAATGTCCATGACAAGGAGGTATGCAAATTATCCTGAGTTATCAGAGCAAGTTAATCTGTCATGTGAGATATAAACACTTATATTATTTTACTTTGTCTATTGCGACAAGTGATCGATACATAGCTAAAAGGACATCCTTCCCATCCTACACCTCTTTGATACCTCTCAGACCTGTTCTCAACACTGTGAATTACCATGTCTTTTCCTTCTTTTAGGCAAAACAAAATTGCACAATTTGCACTTCTTTTCTTTCATCTATTTACTCAGCTTATGCTTATTAAATAGATGATGTTCAAATTTCTTTTTTTTGCTGACTCTTTCCTTAAGATACTGTAGTGCTTATTAGCCCCTCTTTGGAATCACAGCACCACAAAAGTGTTTTACGATAGCCGAGGGCTAGTGGAGCAACCCTGAAGCAACCTGTCCAGCTAGCATGTTACTACAATAAATTGTCTGATGGGTGCGCAAACTTTGCCAAGATAAAGTTTATGCTAGTTCATGTTTCATCAACAACTTTCCCCAGGGAGCCAACACTGTTGGAAACTCATCTGAGTCAACCAGACATCAGTCCTTACCTGTCACGACCAGGACTGCGGCTACCGCTACGACTACGGCTTCGACGTCGGCGACCCCTGGAACAGAGAAAACAAAAAGCTGTGAATGCTAGGACCAACAAGAATAAATCACAGTGACCTAGGCATAATATTACTGATTACTGAATTCTAAGTCAAAATGCTAACAAAATGAAGGAACACATTACCAAAGCCTTCTATACACTAACTAATGGGTTGCCAACTGCTAAACCTGTATTAAGCCAAACAAACAGTTGAAAAATTATCTTACTTGTCTCGGCTTTTACTGCGACTGCGATTTCTATGTCCCCTATAAACAGAACAATATATTGACTGTTATTATTGACCTGTCGGATTGTGCATAACAGAAGCAGGTTTTCCTTAACAACCCTTGTAACCACACCCACTGGTGGGTGTTTTACGGCACCCATGTCTACAGCGTTCTACAGATGCTTCCCTTAAACAGGTATTGTTGATTTAAGGTAGGCAGAGTATTGAATTTTAGCTTGGTCAAGTTAGTCACTCTTCAGTTCTGGCAGCCAAGTTTCCGCAGTGTAACACTGATGTTGTAGAGAAATACAATACCTTCAAATGCTTTAGTGGATCATGTTCAGATGCAAAGAACTGTTTAAAATGAGAGAAAACATGTTATGGTACATCTGTAGCTAAAAACCAAATTTAACTTAGTAGATCAAAGCTTAAGACGTTTGTTTGATGACCACATTGCATGTACCTGAACCATGTTTTGAAGTATCCTTTAAAATTTTTCTGTTCTTGGGTAAAAAAATAATTCATCAGCAAGAAATTAACAGGTCACATCAGCATTAAAAGTGAAATATTTTTCAATCTGTAAAATGGCCTGTTAATGAAAACCGTTTTTTTGGCTTTAATATTAAGAAGTTCCTGTTGTGTTGCAGAAGGATGACCTTTATTTTAACTGCAGAACAGGAAACCCTAGAACTGTCTACAATTCAACATACTCCTGACAAAAAGCGCCTTTTACAAAAAATATGTATTTCTTCAGAAAGATCTACAAGCCATCCATTTCTCAGTGGCATTACATCGTGTTTGAGTGTTGATAACTAGGTGTTATGTTGATACTGAAGTAGGTAAAGCCCACATCCCTCCCCTAGTTCCTTTACTTCAACCTGTTACATCAAAAACCAGACATCTTGCAGTCCAGTGATCATCTGCTGTTATATTTCCTTGGAAAACCTAAAATTTCTACCTAGGGCGAAAACAGAAATATTCGCTCAGATTCCACTTGTTTTATTTTGTCAGGAGATAGTGTTAAGCCTTCCTTTTCATGGACAAGAAACACAAAATGTTGGTGTTACATAATAAGCTGAAGTCTTGTTATCTGAGGTACCATAAACATACATGATGTATTGAAAAAACATGTTTTTGTTTTTGTGAAGAAGCTTTTTAGTTTCCATTACATTTTTACCAAAGCTGCCAGTCAGAGAAGGCAGGAGAGAAAGTTCTCCTATTTGACTATTTGGAAGATTAAAAAAAGGGACATATGAATGATGTACATGCATGCTACCATTTCCTGCTGGTAACAAGAATCCCTGCCTTCTTACCGTCTTCTCTTCTCATCATCATCACTTTGCCTCCTTGAATCACTCTTGGTTCCATTTGCTTGGGTAGGTGGGGTCTGCAACATCAACATGGGCAAATTAACATATCACTGATCTGATTCTCTGCACAGCTCAACAATTCATACTACTCTTTGTTAAGCAATTTAATCCCAGTGAATTCAACACTAGCAAACCAATGCGACTGCTCTTCAAATGCGGCTGTGATTACTTGGATTCATTAATTTCATATCAAAAGGTGAGAATGAAGTGTACTAGCTGTACTTATATCACTGAATGTGAATGAGCTGTAACAACTACAAGAGCTGCAAGGAAAGCTTAGCACCACATACCCACCTCTAAGAAACATCTCAAAAGCTAGGAAGAAGGCACTCAAGTCTAATTAGAGAAATACATACAAGTAGATTTGATCAAATTGTTTGAAACAACTCCCACTACAGTTAAAAGAAAAATGGAAAATAATGTCAAGATGATCATTAGGTAAATGAGCATCAAAGCAACACTGGAAAGCTTGTGTGCTTCCACTTTCTAATAAAATTAATTTTCATATAGGTTAATAATCTTTTTTTCTTGCGCTTCGCACTTGTTCTCATGATCACCAAATTGTTGGGAAAAAAAGAAAACCTCTGTGAACAAGCCGCATCAATGATAATAATAAAAATATTAACCATTTGTGGAGGTAGTGAATATTAGAAGCAACTTTCGTTACAAAATTCTTTCCTAGGGTCCATTTTTGGTCAGAAACCAGCAGGAGTAAATACTGGTTTATCTTTATTTTTTTCCACAGAGGTATAAAAAAAAAAGGTCTCTTCTTTCGAGGTGGTTGACTACCTCACTAAGGCCAGTTGTGCTGTATTTTCAACTCTACAAAACAGAAAATAAGATAGTGGGGTCAGATATTTTGGTGAGCCAACAAAATCACTTGACTGATTAGTTGCAGTAATTGCTTGACCATAAGATTAGAGTGCAAAAGTTCTCTGCCATTTAACTCAAGGGAGTTACCGTATTTACCCGTGTATAATGCGCACCCTAATTTTTGACCACTTCAGGGTTGTCACTAAGATTTCAAGTTGCCGGGCAAATACAACAAGTAGGCGGGGAATCAAAAGGCTAGGGATTTCTTTTGGTTCTATTTTTCTTCTATTTTCCAATAAAAGTAGCCGGGGGCCACTCTCTTAGTAGCCGAGGAAATTCCCCGGCCCCCGGCTCTTAATGACAACCCTGCCACTTTATTCTAAAAAAAAAGATTTCAAGATAAACACCAAGAATTAAAACTTCCATTTTTCCATTTAATTAACAAGAGCTGGGAATTCATTAATGACATGTTTACAACCAACTACAAAATCGCACGCACAGAGCACTTATATTCAATACTTGAAGTCCCTATTCATAACTTGAATTATCAACATAACAGCAATTAAAAAAAACTTAACTGGTATTTCTACTCACTGCACTGCTAGTAGCTTGAGTATCACTACTGTATCGCGTTAGATTCAAGTAAAATGTTCACTGTCTTTAAACAACAAAACCTTCAAATTCTGACTCAGGGTCTGATTCAAATAGGTTTTCGATGCTTGAATCATCAAGTTCATGAGTGTTCTCGGTTGAATTGTAAACCAGTTCATCTTCTGATCCATCCAAATTGTTTGTGATGCCACACTTCAGAAAAGAGGCAGCGATAAATTCGTGAATTCCGTCAGCCATCCACTGAATCCACTGCTTTCGGACTCCATCTTTAAACGGTTTTTTTAAAGATACATTGAGCGGTTGGAGAAGGGAAGTTAAACCGCCAGGAATAACGGCAAGTTCAGTGTTCTCGCATTTGAAGGACGCTTTCACAGTATCTGTCACGTGAGCTTCAAATGAGTCATAAACAAGCAAGCTCTTTCTTCTCCCCAGGCCACCGATCCATGCACGCCATACTTTTTCGATCCACACTTTCATCTGCTCTGAATCCATCCATCCTTTCTCTTGGGCTGAAACAACGACTCTATGCTTGTTGTTGATCTTAGGGATGGTTTTCCTCTTGAAGATTAACATCGGTTTCAGTTTTAATCCATCGCTGCAGCACGCTAACACAACTGTTACTCGATTCTTCTCATTCCAAGTGGTACGTATTTTGATGGTTTTCTCGCCGGTGTTGTTTACGGTACGATTCGGTGGCATATCGAAGGTCAATGGAGTTTCGTCCATGTTATCAATGATGTAGCGATGAAATCGGACTATCTTCTCCTCGTAATCATCTGGCAGACGTTGTGCTAATGCTGTTTTCTGTCGATGTGACAGACCGTTCCTCTTCATGAAGCGCTGACACCAGTGATTGCCAGCTTTGAAATGTCCTTCAGGAATTCTGTACTTCTTGTTCTTGGCTAGTTCGAGGGCTTTCAGTCGCACAATGGATGGCAGAATGACAAGACCGTTATTTCTTTTCTCGGTAATCCAAGCCAGCAGATCGACCTCCAACTCCAGCCATGCAGCTTTCTTTCTGCGGTTAGCACGCTTCAGTCGAGGCATCTTCTCGAGGTTTTCTTTACTTTTTCGCCAGAGTCTGACATTACTCTCGGAAACACCAAACTCACGCTTGGCAGCACGATTGCCATGTTGCTCTGCAAACTGGATTATTCTTAACTTGTCGGACACAGTGTAACTTTGACGTTTCACAGTGGTAAGTTTCGTGGCCATGATCGCTATAGTGACAATCTCACATGTTGTTTCCTCGATCAGCTGTTACTTAAATAGGCATTTTAATTTATTCATCGATCGAAATTGAAAACAGTTCATTGGTAGTTTACTTTACTGAGTTTATTAAACACCAATTACTACAAAGCTTTTGTCTTCTTGACCAAACAATGGAATCCGTCTATTATACGCATCGTAAATTTGAAGGTCGATTTCAGGGGAAAAAAGTGCGTATTATACACGGGTAAATACGGTAACACTACAGTCCATTTGAAAAGACTCAGAAAGACTAAAGGGCAAATACAAACCATTGCACTAAACTAAAGGAGGAAACCCTGTCAAAATTAATGTTGCTACTACCTAATCTGACCCTCTGCGCAATCTGCGCGTAAATGTAACTGCTGCACAGTACATTAACTCACCTCTTTTCTATAAGGAGCTTCAAGCATGGCCTCCACATCTACATCAAAGTCGTCAGCCATGGTAAGTGCCTTTAAAACAAAAGTTCAGCATTTTTGTGTATAGATATTACAACTAGCCTGACCCTACATTGCCTTTTGGCTCATCATGCAAGTAAAGAACAGAATTCACTATTATTCACATGATACCGGAATGACTTTCATTCTGGAATGAGTTCATTCCATCTCCATATATTTCTCTGTATTTGGTTGCATAATACTCATTTCCTTTCCACACGAGTAATTCCTGAACAAGTTCATTCCAGTTTTCATTCCAAATGAAATTCTCCTTCTGGCTTGGTACAAAATTTCATTCTGGTACCATGACAACTGAAAATAAACTTTGTTCCGGATTGAAAATCAAAATTGTTTACCATGGGGCAAGTGGTCCATGCATATCTGAACTGGCCTGAAAACCACGCCAGCAAAAATGCCTTAGGCTAGGCCATTCAATCTTATAATGTGAATGCAGTATGAACTTCACTCTGGAACAAAACTCGTTCCGGTATCATACAAACAGTCCCTCAGAGAGTCAAGGGTGAAAGTCAAGTCCTCACGGCCTCATGACAAGGCTTACAATCTCATGGTATTTTTCTGAAATAAAAAGCTATATAGTTGAATAAAAATGGAAATTTTATGGAGAATGCCAGTGCCTGTTTAAGCATTGATGCCACTGTCTAACACTTTGTCCATGAAGATGGCTAATTATCCGAATAAAAATGACCCTTTGCTGTAAGTTTTGTGCCCATGATGAGCTCTTCCCGGCCTCTTAAGAGTCAAAGAACGACAAAGTGGGATCTAGTTACAAGTGGAACCACATAAATCAAGGTAATATTTAAATTAACTGTTTAATTCCCCAAATGGAAAAAGAGTTTGTTTCATCTTTTTTCTGGGAAAAGTTAAGTAAGAAATAAATCTCGATTATTGACAACAACCTTGATTACGCTTTGTCGTCCCTAGAGGCATAATTAACCTTCCAAAAAGCAAACCAGCCACTTATTTAACGTTTTCCGACTAAGACACTGTATTTTCATCATTTCTTCCCACGTACACAGCGACCAAACATCATCGGAACTTATTGGACGGTTCGAAACATGCTGTCCCGGTACAGTTGCTCCAGTTCAATTATATAAGAACTGAAAGCTTATATCTTCCAGTTTCCTGACCCAAAACCATAAAAGATGAAACTTATAGGATATCGACTAATTCAAAATAAGAATTACTCACTGTATTTCCACGTGGAATGCTGTAAAACAGAGATAATTAACCTCTATTCACGGAAAGATTCTTCTGCTCTCTCAAGATGGCGTAACACGAGTGTAGTGATATGAGGGGTGGACGAGGTGGACTGTAAAAGAAACAGGGCGTCCCAAACCTTATTTGGTAAACATACCCTTTTATGTAGTAACTAAAATGACGTCATTATTGGCTAAAGAGACTGGGACCTAGTCATTATTTTTAGCTTGTGATGGTGGACTAAATATTCCACCGACTGAACACTTTTTGAGGCCATAATTTCTTCAAAACTTGAACGATGCCTTCCGTAGAAGGTAAGATATTATTATTTATCTGTGGAGGTTTTGTATGCCTATTTTATACTGATTTTACCTTTTCGTTTATTTGGTAGATACATTATTCCAACTGAAGGTAAGCTTTTTTAATATTATTAGACATCAATGATTTTGAACATTTCTTATTTGACTTATTTGCTGTTTGTTAGAGTCTCGTTTAACTATGTGATCTATGTAATTCAGTGTTGTAAATTGGATGATCATTTTATAGTTTACAACGAAGCAGTTGGAAAGATTCTCAAAAAAGTGTGAGAAAGAGGAGAAGGCCCAACAAGCCAAAGTGAAAAAGGTACTTATGGCAAAGCCTTTTATACGACTAACTTGTACTACTTGCTGTACTTAATCCGTGAAGCGGAAAATTAGAACACCAGTAAGTTCAGTCTTGTTTGCAGGGATTTATAAATTAAACATTGGTAAATTCTGCTTCTTGCTCTTTGTACCAGGTTGCAAGACAGTAATTGTACGTGTAGAGTTTACATGTATATTAAACTTAATCAATTGATTCATTAATTAATGATTTGTGGGATAGGCATCCATAACTATTACTTTACCTGGGTGCCGTCCTTGGATGCCAGGATCCAAACTGCATCTTTGCTGATTCTATTACCTTTTCGCTTGAAAATGTGACTGAAAAAACTCTTCCATAGTCTGTTCCAGTAGTTTTGATAATGACCAGTTAGTAAACATTCATCAACACTTCTGGAAAGAGTGCTGTCGTGTGGGTCTTTAGATAACAGTCTGATAATTTAGGGGAATGGTGAACGAAGACAAACGAACAGACAAGGAACAGAATCTCGATAACCAAACACAGCTATATTTCAAAATGACGATCTGATCATACAGTACTTTCCATGTGACTTGCGCGTGCACATACATTTATGACATGACCGCATAACATGCTGAGTTAAACAATAACAAGGTTCAAATAGCAAGTTCAGTCTACTCGACATCCTCCGGGGGGGCGCGGATGCATCTTGTCCATTCTGAAATTCTCCCCATGGCGTCAGTAGCCGCAGCTCGTCTCGGTCTAGTTGATGTGACTACGGTAGATTGTTGCTCAGGAGAGTTTCGCGATGCAATCCTAGAGGAAGAGGGACTCGCAGTAACTTCAAGAGGATACAGTTTGGAGACAGGACGGTTGGTATATCCAGTACTTGTGCGAATGTGTGGTGCCCTTACAAAGCCATCACCTCCTCTAATCAGGTCTTCTATAACTGCTAGCTTCCATGATGATCTGGGACCTTCGTCATAGACTAGTACAACATCTCCCGTCTTGATTGATTGCTTGTTGGTACCGGATGCTCTGTGGAATTCGCGAAGTGAGGTCAGGTATTCGTGTCTCCATCGGTTCCAGAAACATTCAAGGATATGGGCTTGTGCTGTCACACGCTGCCTCATGTCAGATGCACCTCCATAGTCTGGGTCAGATGGATCATCATCAGCAATGGGATAAGGCAGGGAAGAGATTCTCCTCCCGTTTAAGAGATGAGAAGGTGTTAATGGCTCTTCGTCTGTACAATCACTTGAAACATAAGTGATAGGGCGATCATTCAGGAAAGCTTCTACTTCAGTGGCGAGTGTTTGGAGCTCTGTTAAGGTGATAGATGCCTTGCCAAGCGTCTTCTTAATGGCTCGTTTCGTTAGTCCAATGATTCGTTCCCAAAAGCCTCTGTACCATGGAGCGCGTTTCGGGATAAATTTCCACTCAACGCCTTGTCGGCTGAACTGTTCCTTTAGTGAAGGAGATTTGAATAGGTCACTGAGGGTATCTGAGGCCGCAAGGAACGTGGAGGCATTATCTGATATCATGTGATGTGGCACAGATCTGCGACTTGAGAATCGTAGGAAGGCTTGCAGGAAACTTTGCTCCGAGAGGTCACTGACAACTTCCAGATGTACCGCTCTTGTTACAGCGCACGTAAACAGACAAATGTAGCTCTTGGTGGTACCCTTTTCTGATCGCACATAGAGGGGTCCAGTAAAGTCAACTCTAGTTACTGAAAATGGTTTTGCATCCTGGACTCTTAACCTAGGTAAGGGTGCGGGATCTGGAGCTCTGAAGGCCGTTCCTTGCACCTTCCGGCAGGTCACACATCGCCGAAGAAGTTTCCTCACATACTGCCGAATTGAAGTTATCCAGAATGTTTGGCGAAGCATGGTCACTACCACGTTGACACCAGAGTGAAGTTGCTTTTTATGGACTTCGTAGACAACCAGTGCTGTGAAGGGATGGTTGGGTGGAAGCAGGTAGGGAAACTTTGCTGACTATGCAAGCTGAGCATTATGGATCCTCCCCCCGGAACGAAGGAAGCCGTCAGCATCGAGGAACAGGCGGAGTTGTTTCACTAATGTCAAACGGGTACTGGAGTTGGATCGAAGGTTAGCAATCTCTGCTGCATAGATTAGTGCTTGGGAGTTCTGGATCCACTTGCGTTGGGCGTCTTGCCTCTCCTGTACAGATAGGGGGCCATGTGTCTTTGTTGCAGGATGTTTCAAGTTCTTCACAAACCGTAGAACGTATGCTGTTATGCTGAGAAGTCTGGAGAGAGTGCTGAATCTTGAAACATCAATAAGATTATGGATGCCTAGCTCTTTCTCCGTCGGATCTGTCTGAGTCATCCCATTCCTGGTTGTGGCATCAGTGTCTTGCGCATCGGCGATGTCACACAGCTGTAGATGGAGTATTTTGGAGGGATTCCAAGATGGCCATTGCTCGACAAGTGGTAACCATTGGGGACCGTGTTGCCAAAGAGATGAGGTGTGAAGCTGTGTTGTAGAGATGCCACGAGTAAGCAGATCAGCAGGGTTTTCTTGGGTTGGGCAATGATTCCAGACAGTAACAGGGAACAGTGTCATGATCTCTTTGTTGCGGTTGGCAATAAACTGTTTGAGGGGCTTGGAGCTGTGTAACCAATGGAGGACTATCTCGCTGTCTGACCACAGATGGACTGTAATATTGGGAAATCTCGATTTGAGGGCTTCTGCTACTTAAAATGAGCTAGTCTTGTACAGATTGATGCCGCCATTAGTTCCAATTGAGGGAGTGTCAATTTCTTCAGTGGAGCAACACGTGACCTTGACATGACGAGTGAGGTCTGGTCACCATTAGAAATGTAGGCTACAGCTCCATATGCTTTAGGGCTGGCATCAGCAAAGACATGTAAGTAGATTGGTTGTGCATTAGACGGCGCTTGTGAGAAGAAGCATCTGGGTAAGATCAGCTTGCTAGCCTCTTGGATATCTTGGGCCATGTCATTCCACTTGGCTTCCAGTTCTGTGGGAAGTGGCCCATCCCATTCTTTCTTTGCCACAGTTCTTGAATGAGGAGCTTGGCCTTCACAGTGACTGGAGATATGAATCCCAGTGGATCATAAGTCCTTGAGGCAAGTTGTAGTACATCACGTTTGGAGGTTGGTTGACTGGAAGGGGAGGCGAGTTCCTTTGGTGCAAGAGAGATGGTGTCTTGGATTGGGTGCCAGCGCAAACCAAGAATGTTGACCACAGTGCTTGGATCGGCCGTTTGATCTTGTTCTGTTCCTTCAAAGTAAGTGGGCTATTGGATGCCCATGAGCGCAGGTTGAAATTGGCTTCATTCATGATTGATCTTGACTCTTGATAGTAACGGATGATGTCAGTTTCTTGGTCACACCGGAGATAACATTGTCTACATACATATTGTTTCCAATGTCTTTGGCCACAGGTGTACTGTAGTTTTCCAGATGATGATGCAGTGTAGCGTTCAGCATGAAAGGGGAACTGGTGGAACCAAATAGGACCGTCTTGAAACGAAAGACCTGAAATTTCGCTTTCGGATTCTTAGGGTCTGACAACCAGAAAAAATCGGGTAAAGTCTCGGTCATTGCCATCGAGACCGACATGAAGAAAGGCCTTCTCAATATCTGCGGACAGGCCGTAAGTGAAGGATCGGAATCTTATGATGATGGAGCACATATCGCTTAGAAATGGAGGGCCCACCATAAGGCAGTCGTTCAAACTTGGAGAGTTGTTTGAGGATCGGGAGCTGCAATCAAAAACAACTCTGATAGGTGTGGTAGCAGATTCTTTCTTGACTGCGTGATGTGGGAGGTAGTGCACTCTATCCATACTGTCTACATTGTCAACCCTTTCAATAAATCCACGCCTTTCATGTTCTTTGATAATTTCCCCGTACGAGGTAAGAAGGCTAGGTGTCTGAGCAAGGCGGCGTACCATAGCCCGCGTGCGGCGTGCACAGCTACCATAGTTGGAAGGTAGTGTGGGAAAATCTTCCTTCCATGGGAATTTGGCGCTGTAACTGCCATCGGACATTCTTGTGATTGAGGATCTCTGGTAGTGTTGCAGGAAGGACTCCTGGTTATCCACTTCTGTAGGTGGTGTGATGCCTATAGATTCCAGAGACCAGAAATGTTCAAGATCACGTTCTGCCACCGTTGTGGAAGACAGTGTCTGTAGCAGGTTCACAGCAGCGTCAGTGCGATTGACGCAGTTAGTCTGTAGCGGTCCAGAGATGAGGTAGCCAATCTTTGATTCTACAGCAGTTGGGCCTTGACCGCGGATGACCGTGTCCATCACTATATCCCAATAGTGATCCGCACCAAGTAGAAGTGAGATTTCAAAATTCTCGTCCGACGTCACAGGGTGGGCAAGTTGAAGACCCCTTAGGTAGGGTATGGTTCGGACCTGCTGCCGAAAGCGGTTCTGAAGTGGTGTGGTGATTTGGTCAATCACAAGGACACGTACTGGTATGTGTTCCCCATTGTTAGTGACGATAGTGATGTTGGCCATAGGTAATTGTCTGTTGGATGAGGAGTGTGTACCAAAGGCAGACAAGGCAATAGATTCATTCTCTGTGTAAAGTATGCCTAGTTGATCAGCCAAGGACTGCGTGATAAAGGAGCGCTGTGCACCTTCGTCGAATAGAATGTTAGCTTCACGGTGCGTATGGTTATAGCCAACAGTTGCTACAGCAGTTTTCAAGAGTGATATTGGGCCATTGTTGACTGGGATATTCGTTTGAGTAATTGGTGCGAGAGAGGTATGTACCCTGAAGGGTGGCTCTGCTATAGAAGTATGAGGACTGTGAGTGGGAGCCGTATTGTCAGGTGTGGTCGGAGGGTTGATGGCAGGATCAGTGGGGCCCAAACATAAACTTGTGTGATGTTTCCCCTTACATTTATGGCAGCGGAATTTTGACTGACACACTGAAGACTTGTGTTTCCCCAAACAGTTGAAGCAATGTCCGAGAGTCTTAACCTTTGTCCATCTCTCCCGAACGTCAGTGACTACTTGACAATTGTAGGAGGGTGGGGACCCTTGCAGTACAGACATTTTTAGATTCTGGTTTACTAGATTTCCCCAAATGAGGCTGTTTTCCTTGTATTTGAGCGAGAAAAGAACCAGTGATTGTTGGGGTGAATCCATAAGGGGTGTCGTTAAGTTGGGTACCTGCTTCAAGGATTAATTTCCCTTACAATAGCTTCTCTCAACTCCTGGAATTTCCATTCAGGGCTCTCGTGTTCACGGGCTAAGATCTTTCTCAACTCATGGGGTAACTTTCCCAGGATAATTGGAGCGAGGAGATCCCCATAGCTTTCGTGTGATCTTCCAAGTGATTCAAGACCTCTGACATGAGTTTCCATGGTATCATAAAACAGTTGCAAGCTTGTTAACTGGTTGGCAGGGCTAGCAATTTCAGGAGAGCTTGCATATGGGCACCTATGATCTTACTGGGTTGCCCAAAACGTTCCTTAAGTAGTTTTATGGCTTGCTCATAATTGACATTGCTTAGTGGGAAACCAGCTATAGCTCTTGAGGCGACCCCGTTAGTTGGGCCTTCAGGTAACTAAACTTCTGTACTCCCCCAATGTGGTGTGAGAGTGGACAGCTGCTTGAATGAATCCCAAAATGTGGGCCAGTTGAGGGGATTGCCAGAAAAGGTAGGTAAATTCAGTTTGGGAAGGCGGCTACTGTGGTTAACATTCAACTGAGAGGTCTGAGGCGGTGGATGTGTGTTCAGGGGTGGCTGAGAATTCGGTTGATTATTAACAGTTTCCCCAGAGGCTGCTTGACTAGTGGGTGGGGTATTTTCGTGACTGTTTGAAGTGCTGGGTTCGGACGTGTTACTTGGTACGAGTGGGGTTTCATTATATACCATTTGTGGGGATTCCTGATGAGTGGAGGACGGAGGCTGGGTAGCAGATTTCTTAGGAGATATTGTGACATGAATAAATCTACTTATCTGGCTGGTGGTATCTAGAATTTCATCATGGATTTCTTCTGTCTCAAAAATCTCTTGCTCGAGATCCTCCGGTTCTTCGATGAGCGCTGCAATTTTCACGTCCAGTCCGGTGAGAATAGTCTTCTTCCGTGTAAGTTGTTCAATGATACTGTTAAGCGATACAACATCCATTTCGGTGGGTGCCTCCTTCTTCATAAGATCCTTCGCCTTGTTCAAGGTCTTCGTTAAGTGAACACGATAACCCGCACGTGAAGAGGTTAGTTTCGGGAGAGTTTCCGCCATACTGCGTTGGATGATCCTGGTCTCGGCACCAAAATGTCGTGTGGGTCTTTAGATAACAGTCTGATAATTTAGGGGAACGGTGAACGAAGACAAACGAACAGACAAGGAACAGAATCTCGATAACCAAACACAGCTATATTTCAAAATGACGATCTGATCATACAGTACTTTCCATGTGACTTGCGCGTGCCAGGGCTCGAAATTAACTTTTTCGTTCGGAAGCCAGCTGGCGACTAACGGAAAAATTTTGGTCGCCAGATCGTAAATTTTGGTCGCCAGCTTATTTTATATATAACTTAGACCCTGTTTACATGGAGTGGGGGACCCCAGTCTAGTGGGGTAGGTTTCTTTTGTTTTGTGTCCCCCAGGGCGTGAAAACAAAAGAAACCAACCCCACTAGACCAGGGTTCCCCACTCCATGTAAAGAGGCCCTTACACAAGAACACGATTTTATACGTTACTTTGCATGCAAGAAAAGTCACAACCGAAGAGCGAAAACAATTAGAAACAACATGAGTAACACTTAGTTATAAAGCTACCGTTGTTCTCAGGTGATATGTCTCAGGTCCGAAGGTGATGGTTGTCTCCATAGTCATTTTAAATGAAGCGAAGCATAAAACGTTTAAGTCCGTGGTTTTCATTCTGAGACAAACACGGGTCCTTGCGTATTTGCCCTTTGTTACTTCTACGAAATGGCGTTCTTTATTTTCGACTTGCTTTCCTCGACGCCTTTCGCTGCAGACAAACAACGCCATGCTTGGCCCAGGCCACCACATTGCTCGTACCAGTCTCCGACCGGGAGGAAACATAAATGGGCTTAGTGCCGTTTTTAGGTCTTCGTTTCATTTTAGACAGAACGTTGTAGGAAAGTAAAACCTAAAATATTGCGGGAGTTTACGGAAGCACCGCTTGAATTGAATCGCTATCTCCTTACCTTAAAGTATAAAGAAACGTTGTTAAGAACTATTCACTCAGGTACTTTTTCTGTTAGTGATAGTTATATCCATTTATTAACCGCCCACTTTCCCTACATCAACAACTGATGAAGGATTCAAAGTTTGGATTAACCTTTTGGCTGAATCTTCATTCCCCGCACGTAAATACTCACATATTTCCTTCAACTGATTTGTATCTGCCGCCATTTTCGCGCCAATTGAAAAGCACATGGTGTTGAAGTGCGCCTGCGATCCCAGTTTCGGAAGAAGCCACTGAAACAATATGGCGCGTCGTGAACGCAGTATCGACGTTTCGAAATACATTCAATTTTTTCGATTATCTTGTAGTATTCAGACATTATTTTACTGGGGACAGAAAGGTGAGTTGGATACTAGCTACCATATTCGATTGATTTCCTAATATAAAGATTTAAAAACAAAAGTTGTGTCGTGGTTTTCTTTAGCCATCGGACAAAACGCGAGTCGCCAGCTGGCGACCAGTTCTGAAAATTTAGTCGCCAGTCCTCAATTTTTGGTCGCATTGGCGACCAGTGAGTCGCAATGTCGAGCCCTGCGTGCGCATACATTTATGACATGACCGCATAACATGCTGAGTTAAACAATAACAAGGTTCAAATAGCAAGTTCAGTCTACTCGACAAGTGCCTTATAATAGTACATAAACTTGCCTTCCACCAAACAAATTCCACGGAAATTTTGCAACGTTAAGGTACTATATCCCCTTTAGTTTTCAGCACATCAGTGTCAAACTTGACAACTTTACTAATTTTAAGGCACTACTTTTAGCTGTATTGACAGTCTGATTTTTGCTATCTGATTCATGACAAAAGTGGGTTAAACCATGGAATGGTAGATCTCTTTACCATTCCAACCACTCATCCAGACCACTTGCACCTACCATTAGTGATGACCTTACTCAGATGGGGATACGCATGTCCCTAGTACGAATTTTAAAAGCTGTTGTCTCGCCTATTGAAGAGGAGGCCAACCCACTGTCAGTATTTTACTGCTGTATTTGTGATTTTCCTTGTCACTGTCACATTTCATCCCATCTTCATGTCGTTTGTCGCCATTTAGTCCGTCTTATAAGGCCATGTCGCTTCTGAATTTTACCCTAACAGGGCCTTGTTACTGGTATTTTGTAAATCATCAGTAGCACCTTCCTCTGCAGAACACACTATGGAAATTTGACACCATTTTCTTTCTTTCTTTGTGTGTGTAGGCTTTGCAGCAAAAAAACATTGAAGGAGCAAGAATTTATGCAGAAAATGCTATCAGGAAGAAGAATGAGGGGTTAAACTTTCTAAGACTTGCATCCCGTGTGGATGCTGTGTCCTCAAAAGTTCAAAGCGCAATGATGATGAAACAGGTACTGATATCACAGGTCCTGAAGGGGGGCTACAATTCCCATTTCTGATCCTAAATTGTCTTCAAATCCTACCACCAACTGCGAAAAAAAAAGCAAGAACAACCCAATTCCCATAGCTAATGTGCCTTGATTCCTGACCAAATGTATAATCTGGGGTAGGCAAATCCCTCTTCCCATTTTATCTCTTTGGGATCCTGTACATGGTATTCTTGATACATTATTATTTCAAATTACAGAAATAATATAAGCAACATGACAAGTCATAGGAATGTGTAAGGCAGTTGGAATGCTTTTTGTAGATGATTTCATTAGATCATTAAACAGGGTACCATTGTTGGTTGTATGATCTTCTCATAGGGGTCCTTTATGTTATATTTCATTGAAATGGCTATCAAAATCTACTAGGTTAATAAATATACAACAGGCATGCCTCTTTATAGGATGGTTTCATACACAAGAACTTTCACAGTTTTTAGAACTGCCAGACATTCATTTTTTTTCTAGCAAACCCTTATCTTGAAGGATCTGGTTTGAGAGACCTGGGAATTTAAATGAATTTAAGAATATTACTGAAGTTTTAAACAAACTCTTCCTAGGTTACCAAGAACATGGATGGTGTCGTCAAAGGTTTGGATAAAGCTATGCAGTCAATGGACCTTGAAAAGGTGTGGAACATGACTGTATTCTTTCCCATGTCTCAGGGGTGGATCCAGGATTTCTCTTAGGACGGTTTGCACCACTAAGGAATGGCGAAACTGACTGGTGACGTAAACAAATTTTTAAAGCGAATACAATGAAAGAAGGCTTTTGATTAGGCAATAACATAATGTGAACTGCTGTGAATACATATCAAACAATACAGCAGTATTTTTTATAACTGTATTAGAAAGCCGCAGGTCGAGTTAGGGGGGGCAGTGCGCACCCCCTGCACTCTCCCCCTAGATCCTCCCCTGTAACTGACTGTGACTGTTAGACAAGACGAGACAACAACTCAGACATTTATCACCGTAATTTTACTTCATAATAATTACAATTTCTTCACACGCAGTTAGCCAATTAAATGATAGTCATGGTGTGCCAAATTGATTATGTAGAAGGTTACAAAAAGTATTACAAAATAATAAGTAAATAAAAAGAGCAAAGACGAAAAGAAAACAAAGGAAGAGTGTGATTACATGTACATCAAAGACAAAAAAGATATTAAAATCTGTGCGATGCATTTAACAATCTGAAGAGCCTAAGGTTTAGCATTTCATGATTTTATTTCTTGCATTATCATGGTTGCATTAAGGCGATCATCTTTGTCTTTTAATATTATTTCAAACAGCACACTGATTAAAGTCAGAAGTTTCCAGCATTGATGTTTTCTTTTAATCTCACAATAGTAGTCTTTGCCTTTTTTCAGATTTCAGCCACAATGCAAAAGTTTGAAGGCATGTTTGAAGATCTGGATGTTAACACACAGGTAGAGTGTGCTGTAAACTCCATTATGTTTTATCTTCTGTTGTGAAAAACTTTAATTTGCAAAGATTTCACATGTGGAGTGGAGAATCTAGCTATAGTCTTCAGCTGAATGGCTAGATTCCTATAATAAAAAATAAAAATGTGTTTTATTATTCCAGTTTCTCTTGAAATTTCTAAAAGTTCAGACACTTTGAAAAATAGAGTGAAGTTGAGTTTACCCGTAATGCCCTTCTTCCATAATTTATTTTTCATCATTAGAGAGCTTTAGCATCAGATTTTTCATGGGAATCTGAAACCTGCAGTTTGCAGTTAAAAGTTTGCAGTTTCAGGTTGTCTGGCTTTTGAATTTTAGCAAGGAATTTGTTGTTTCAACCCACCATGTTGTTTTTCATCAAATCGAAGTGCTTTACTTTTATTGCCTAAAAAGTATGAAAAATTCATTGACTCGGTTTCAAAAATCTAACTAGCATGTTGAAGGCGGATATAGAAAGCTACTTTGTGCCTTTAAATGTGAGCCTGTACAATTTTTAGTGGCAAAAGCCAGAAGCTGGAAGCACTTCCTGCCATTCAAACGTGAACTGCAAACTGCAAACGTGACCACATGACTGTGGTCACATGACATTCTCAGGTTTGAAGTTTGCAGTTTCCCCATGAAAAACCTGATGCTAAAGGTCTCTATTTCTTGATTTATTTCCAGGTGTTAGAAAATGCAATGGGTGAGGCCACTACATTGTCAACACCACAAGACCAGGTGGGAGGATTTTAAATAAACTTCTTTCTGATTAATGATAGCAGGGGGAAGAAGATTTTTAAAATAACAAAAGTTGTATTACCTGTGCTTGATCCTGTCTATATCACAAAAACATAATTTAACCAGAGTTACAGGGGCTATGCCATGCTATGTTTTATCTTTTTCACAGAGCTAAAAAAAATTGTACATCATTTAAATTAAAAAAGTCATAGTCCAGTTTTATTATTTAAGAGTATGTTTAGGCATGGAAATTGTTTCCTATCATCTGTTGCTGTGGATGGCAAGGACCCATGGATTGTGTAAAAGCACTAAGTAATAACGTCATCACAGAATTGACATAAAAAGCAATGTCTTTGTGACAAAGCCCCTTTTAAAACCATCAGCGATGATGCACAAATTACTTAACTCTGATGATGACTTTTACACTGGTTAATGTTGAAACATTGGTCACCTTCACCAAGTCAGTCTTGTTCAGAACCACACTCCATTTTTGATACAACAATATTAAGCACAACAAAGCATAAAACTGGTTCCTTTATTCAAGCAAGAAGAAAATTGTTACTTAAAGTTAACAAGACCCAAGCAGTCGTGCAGACCACCCAACCCCCTTTCTCACTAACATTGATATTTTTACTCACAGTATTCTCGGCGAATGTTGCTTGCCAGTTGGACAACATGTGATATTAAAACATGCTAGCCTTGTTGTTGGACAGCAATTCTGTTGCGTCTTTATTTATGTGCATTTGCTTCATTACACATCTGAACTGAGCAAATAAAAAAAAAACTTTGCAAGGTCACTGATCATCAATGAACAGGGCACGTGAAATAGCCATGTGAGCTATTCAAACATCACTTGCAAACAATCATTTTTTTCCAGGTACTAACAGTTTAGTGATTTTGGTAGTAATTATGCATAATACTGTAATATTATGCTTGGATTTGTGTAAGTTTTGTGTATAAGTTGGGCTGAATATAGCCAAGGTACATGTACAGTGTATAAGCAGTGACAAAAATTATTTTTTGTTGTTGTTGTGTTTACCCAAATTGTTATTGTATTCAACAAGGTTGAAACCCTTATGCAGCAAGTTGCAGAAGAAAATGGTTTAGAAATTATGAGTGAACTGGAGGCTGTACAACCAGGCACTTCCTCCCTAAGAACTCAAGAGGGAGAAAGATCACAAAAAGATGAAGATCAACTAAGCAAAAGGTGAGAAATACTTCTTCTCTTCCCATATCTACACAAACGTTTACCTTTTATCTATCAATGCATTTTTGTGTAACTTCTTTTTTTCCTCCACATTTTAATCCCTTCAATAAATTAGCCATATCAAACTATAATGTTCATTTTTCCAAACTTTGTTTTCACAGCCCATATGTTCTTAATATTCACAACCCTTTTTTCTTAACCCCTTTATTTCCAAGAGGAACTCACATCACAAATTTCTCATAACACCATCAATAGATCATTTTCAATTTCACGCAACAACAAAATAGATTTGAAACCATCCACTGGAAGAAGCCAAGAAAATGAAATGTTGTTACAGACTAATTATTATTTATGAACCCTGTGTCTAAGTATCAGGACTTTGTGGCCCACAGTTTCTGAGTTATTTGCTGAAACATTTCATGCACCTTTGTAGAGCTTTGTATGGAGATGCCATATTGGTGTACTGTTTTGGTGCACTAATAAGGCCGCCGGAAATCAACAAAAACATCTGGAGTTCACTTTTTCTATAAGAGGTCTTTCTTTTCACTAGAGAACTAGCATACATGTGCATAAACATGTCTTCTAATACTTGAAATGGTTATACTGCTGAAAATCAAGAGGAGAGACTATTTTTCAACGAGACAGCATTCCTATTTTGGTGTCACACACTGTGAAAACTCAGAAGTTCAAATTGCTGTATTTTTAAAATGAAACGTTCTACGGGAGTGGAAACTTGTACAAAGATTTATTTTTTGATTATCTTCAACCTAGTGTAAATAAGAATTCGTAAAATCTTGCTATCTTGACTTTACAATTTGACGATATCACTGTGAAAACCATCTATACGTAATCAGGAGATTGGGTTTTGAGAATTAATAAAGTGATCACCAAAGGGAAACTGCTTTTTCTTTTATCAAAGTTTCTCGACTACATATTAATAAGGAGAAGTATGAAGATCAGTCGGATCAGTTGGGAGAATTTGTATGACGATCTTAGGGCTTAAAGGGTAAATGTCTTCTTGAGTTTATTGCCTTTAACACTTTAAGTCCCAAGTCTGACCAACATCAATTTTGTCCTAACAATATCCATACACAATCAAGAGAACAGGTTATGAGAATTAGTAAAATGATCACCAAAGGGAAAATGCTCTGATCTTTTATCAAATTCTCTCAATTAATCCTGTAAGGAAATGTGTGAAGATCAGTCTGAAGAATATTTATGTGGATATTGGGGCTTAAATTGGTTACTTTCATTATAGCCTGCGAAAACATCCGTTTCTCCTCGCTCTTCGCCGCTGGGGGTGTTTCGCGAGGAGGAACGTCTGCGACTCAGCGACAGAAATTCCATACTGCTGACGCAAATCAATGTTTACATAATGAATCCAGTAGTCATGGGCTTCCAAATATAAATTTGTCCAATTTTGCGTGTCTTCTGGTCGATTTTGGTGAAGTGTTGTGTTCATTTGCCAACGAGCTCCAGCAAAACTCAAATGCTTCTTCAAGAGAAGACTATATTCCACATATTGACTGTTTTGTTAGAGATTCTTCGCGTTTACATTTGACCTTTGTGGCCTTTTGTCTTTTGTCTGTCATTCGTAAACAATGGCTAAAACAATGTAACTACTCCGTCGACCAATCAGCGATTCTGTCCGGATTCCGGACAGATTTTACGTCATCATTATGGAATTTCTGTCGCTGAGTCTTTCGTTATGGACTTCAAGTAAGCGTGGCCAGTAAACAGCTTATATACTCACTTGTATGACAGTTGCTTGAAAAAAAACAGTCACCATTTTTGTGTGCCTGTCTTCTGCACATCCGTCAGACAGGCTGATTGAGTACTTGTAGAAGCACATGTTGTGGTTTTATTCTATCCATGGGTTAAATTCTATTTATTTGTTTATTGATTTCCTTTGAATTGTTTATTTGAGCGGAAGGGTGGGGGTGGTTGGAAATGTATGATTATACAGCTGTAAGTTTTAATACCAAGGATAAAATGAAGCCAAAACACATTGGCGGATTATTTAAACAGAGTCTAGGCAGTATTTGACAAAACTGTCTTTTGTCATTTTCAGCTTGCCCAACGCTTTCATCTATACAACATTTGTTGTGAACAGTTTCTTGAGTGCATATAGCATAAAATAGAAAATACACAGAAAGAAACCTGGAGGTCCAAAGGTTTTTAAAATCGTGGCCTAAGATGGACTTCCTTGAAATACCGATCCATAAAATTTTATTTTGAACTATTTTTAAGTCATCAACTGTAGGGTTCTTTTGCTTTTGTTGTTTTTCACAGGCTTGCTGCTTTAAGAAGTTAGTAGACATCAAAAGATACATAAGACACCTTTGGTCTGGGATGGATCTATGTACATGAAAAAGTGAGAGAGGTGCTCATCACAATTCAGCTTCATTTTTTAGTTAACATTTTATACCTTAAGAGTTTCTTAAAACCAAAATTCAGGAAAAACTTGAGAAACATAGTTAGCACAATACTGTATAAAAAGGCTTATTTCCACCATGCAGGACTAAACCACTCCAAACTCGTCATAAACACTCAACAGTTAGGACTTGTTTACACAAAGAAATCACCGCGTGAAAGTACTACAGAAAAGGTTTCTCGTGAAAGGTAGCACTATGGATTTTTCCCAGAGAGTCAAAAGTTGGAATTAGGTTATACAGCGTAATAAAATTAATAGTAACACGCAAAAGAACTGCTAAAGAGGTTTCATTTGAATGGTAACCGAGAATAATTTTGTCCACTGACTCAAAAGTTCACGTAATTTGTATATGACTGTGAATAAAGCAGCTAAGCTATTTTGAGTATTTTTAGGGACGTATTCATTAAGAGAAAGACTTGGTTTGCAATCTTCTTTCTTTTTCGATAAATGTAGAAAATCTTGGGTGCTTAATCACCGAGAGATATTCCCTTAACCGTTTAGTTACATGTAATTCCTCTTCTGTGACTCGCGCATGACTTTTTGGTACTATTATTTTAACATTAAAAATAATAAATATATATGCGAGTACAACTTTCAGAGACCAGGTCTGAAAAGGGTAATTGACATTTGTTGCTTGGTTTGAAATAGGGTTAGGATTTGGAGAACCGGGTGTCACAACCCCCGCCAAGAATCCCTGGAAGTGCTTCCCGACGCGGGTGGAGGGGCCTATATCATATACCTGGGTTTTAAAAGTATCACCTCGGTATATAAAAATTACCCGAAAGTAGCGGGTTGCAAACAACGACAACAAACTTGTCTCCGTTAATTAACGTTTAAAGGATTCAGTTTCAACATCATTACCACCTGGATCTTTAATGTTAGCATTGAAACAAAACAGCGTTCAGGAAAAAGAAGGTTCCAAGTTACACCACGTTGTTTTCGAGCGGAAAACCATTTCCATGTAAACATGCTGCCTTATACGTACAGCCTTGCTTGTGACGTATGCATTTACCCGGAGGCACGAAAGTTTTGTGGGAGTTTATTTTTGCGGATTGGCGACTTTTTGTGCATGTTTTGCGGGAACTAATTTTTGTGATCAGGACAGATTGGATTTTCTTGTTGAGAATTAATTTTTGCGATTTTCAGAAAGTACCCAGTAACCAGCATTGATAAGATTTTCGTTTTTATTGAGTACGTGCAATAGAAATACATATTTCAAACAATAATATTAAACCCGAGTATTTCGTTGTATACCGTTTTGTTTCTGAATAAAAGAGACAAGTTGTGATTGAACAGACACGATTTCTTAGTACTGTATTTTTTGTGTAGCGAATTTACGTTAGACAATATTTACTCTGGAGTAAATTTTTGCGGGAAAAATGTTTGCGGTAATATTTATTTGCGGGAACTTATTTTTCGGATCGCTGGAAAAATCGCAAAAATTAGAACCCGCAAAAATTTCGTGCCACACGGTAAGACCAAAATGTTTAGGGAGGGAAGCCCTAACAGAGAAGATACAAAGTCGTTTCGATACG